AAAAAAAAAAAAAAAAAACACATAAGTCGCCAAATTTTTCTTCTGTAAAGTATAATTTATAAAGATCAATTTTTTTTTAAATAAATTTTTAACTTTTAGAGTCCTATTGAATTTTTCAGCATTCCAGTCCAAAAGTCTTTTTGTTTGAGAATTCACATAATCATAATTCTTCAGGGAAGGTTCTTGATATCACAGAATATCACAAAATAAACTTTTACATAATCATTGCTTATAATTAAATGTAATGCACATAAATATTTATGATACTTATATCCATACTGATAAATTATAATTTAACATCATAAATAATAGGATTAAGATTTTCAGAATTTACTCTTTCACCGTTATCATCTTTCATTTACAACTCCTGATTTTACCAAACTGGAAGCCTCGCAATACTTCTAAACAAACATATCCATCAATAGGGCTGTCCTCTTGAGCTAACCAGTGTGTTCTAGGCACTGGTGGCCCAGGGTGCCTAGGCAGTTACTTGAAAAGGCCTCCGTTCCTTGCATTAAGGTAACTGGCCTTTGAGAACTGCACTAATACATTCCATAATAAAAAAAATATAATAATAATATAAAAAATTTACATGCATTCATAAAATGAGAGCCTCCAACATTATCTTGCATGAAGAGGGTAAAAGGAACAACTGTACAGAGGTAATTACAGGGCTCTGTTGAAGGAACCAGTACACCCTCATCATACTATACTTAACACACAATAACCCATAAATTTTAACATGCATTTACCATAATTTCATATTACGTATCTGTAATAATTTCACTTATTTTTTACACCTACTTAATTTTTAGAATAATTATAAAATTCGTATTCAAAATTCTCAACAAAATTTCAAAAACATAAAAACTTATCTTAATATCCTTCCCTATGAATAATTTAAATAGCTTAAAAATTCGTTACTTAATTTTGCTCACACATAATTATGAAAAATTAGAAACATTAATGAACAAGAATTTCAGATTTTCTCAAAACCAAATTGCAGAAATTTTAACCAAAAGTTGAAATGAAAACTATAGAATTCTCAGCATATTAAATGATTTAGTTTCCTGAGCTAGATTCACACGAATAGTAAATAATTTTTGAGCTGTTGAAAAAGCGGAAGTGCAAATAATTTTCTGTCGCACATACTTGCAAACACTAACTCGGATCGACCTTGAACCCGCTGTAATGCTTAATTCCTAAACGGTAATTCACTGATGATTTAAAGCACTTTTTTTCTAAATATTGTAGAGATCGGCAAAGCAAATTCAATATTCCTTTTCACTAGGCATTCGAACTTCTCAATTTATCGAGAGATTACTTTCAATCTGGAAACACTACGCATGATTATTTTTTTGAAGCACTCGCAAAACACCACAGCAGAAGAATGATCTGTTATTTTTTAAACACTGAAAAAACAAATTTGATGATTCATTTCTTTCACAACTGAAAAAACAAATTTGATGATTCACTTCTTTCACATTATCTTGGATTTTGTGTAAACAAAACGATGATTTGAAGAGCTGAACTAAATTTTCCATTGAGGTTTCAGGCTGCAGGAAACTATCCTACCGGCTTAATTGTCATAATAAAAACACAAGGAAAAAAGACGGAACACTGTAGATGCGTGCTTAGACCCATATTGAAGAAGATTTTGATTGCGTAGTATGCTACTAATGCTAACTTGGTAATATCTAAATAACTTGGCAGTCGAAGCAGTTTTAATTCCATTTTTATTTCCAATTGGTATTTGTGGCCACAATCACTTGGCACTCTAGTCGTGCCTTTCCACAGAAGATTTACATTTTTGATATTGTTGAGATAGAAAGCAAGCCAGCGGAATTACATCTTAGCAGAGTAGAGGGCAAAAGCTGAAGTGCGTAGCTATGCAAGATGGAGGCACGCGAAGAGAAAAGTTTTGGTTTACAAGGAGAGTTTCAGTTCTTAATTATTACGTCATCCGAGTTGCGCGGGCCATAGAGTGATCTAGAAATGACGCAATGCAGATAAGTTATTACGATTTTAGAATAGAGAGGAAGAATTAATGTTTATAGTTATATTATAATTCTGATTCATATAATTTTATCTTACATATTCCCCCCTTCAAAAAGAAAAAAGCGTAGCGACAGTGAAGCCTTTTTAAAGAGAAAGAGTTAAAGCAATAATGTGATGTAGAGTTAATGTAAAGAAAAAAAAAAAAAAAAAAACACATAAGTCGCCAAATTTTTCTTCTGTAAAGTATAATTTATAAAGATCAATTTTTTTTTAAATAAATTTTTAACTTTTAGAGTGCTATTGAATTTTTCAGCATTCCAGTCCAAAAGTCTTTTGTTGAGAATTCACATAATCATAATTCTTCAGGGAAGGTTCTTGATATCACAGAATATCACAAAAATAAACTTTTACATAATCATTGCTTATAATTAAATGTAATGCACACATAAATATTTATGATACTTATATCCATACTGATAAATTATAATTTAACATCATAAATAATAGGATTAAGATTTTCAGAATTTACTCTTTCACCGTTATCATCTTTCATTTACAACTCCTGATTTTACCAAACTGGAAGCCTCGCAATACTTCTAAACAAACATATCCATCAATAGGGCTGTCCTCTGAGCTAACCAGTGTGTTCTATGCACTGGTGGCCCAGGGTGCCTAGACAGTTACTTGAAAAGACCTCCGTTCCTTGCATTAAGGTAACTGGCCTTTGAGAACTGCACTAATACATTCCATAATAAAAAAAATATAATAATAATATAAAAAATTTACATGCATTCATAAAATGAGAGCCTCCAACATTATCTTGCATGAAGAGGGTAAAAGGAACAACTGTACAGAGGTAATTACAGGGCTCTGTTGAAGGAACCAGTACACCCTCATCATACTATACTTAACACACAATAACCCATAAATTTTAACATGCATTTACCATAATTTCATATTACGTATCTGTAATAATTTCACTTATTTTTTACACCTACTTAATTTTTAGAATAATTATAAAATTCGTATTCAAAATTCTCAACAAAATTTCAAAAACATAAAAACTTATCTTAATATCCTTCCCTATGAGTAATTTAAATAGCTTAAAATTCGTTACTTAATTTGCTCACACATAATTATGAAAAATTAGAAACATTAATGAACAAGAACTTCAGATTTTCTCAAAACCAATTGCAGAAATTTTAACCAAAATTGAAATGAAAACTATAGAATTCTCAGCATATTAAATGATTTAGTTCCTGAGCTAGATTCACACGAATAGAATAATTTTTGAGCTGTTGAAAAAGCGGAAGTGCAAATAATTTTCTGTCGCACATACTTGCAAACACTAACTCGGATCGACCTTGAACCCGCTGTAATGCTTAATTCCTAAACGGTAATTCACTGATGATTTAAAGCACTTTTTTTCTAAATATTGTAGAGATCGGCAAAGCAAATTCAATATTCCTTTTCACTAAGCATTCGAACTTCTCAATTTATCGAGAGATTACTTTCAATCTGGAAACACTACGCATGATTGATTATTTTTTTGAAGCACTCGCAAAACACCACAGCAGAAGAATGATCTGTTATTTTTTAAACACTGAAAAAACAAATTTGATGATTCATTTCTTTCACAACTGAAAAAACAAATTTGATGATTCACTTCTTTCACATTATCTTGGATTTTGTGTAAACAAAACGATGATTTGAAGAGCTGAACTAAATTTTCCATTGAGGTTTCAGGCTGCAGGAAACTATCCTACCGGCTTAATTGTCATAATAAAAACACAAGGAAAAAAGACGGAACACTGTAGATGCGTGCTTAGACCCATATTGAAGAAGATTTTGATTGCGTAGTATGCTACTAATGCTAACTTGGTAATATCTAAATAACTTGGCAGTCGAAGCAGTTTTAATTCCATTTTTATTTCCAATTGGTATTTGTGGCCACAATCACTTGGCACTCTAGTCGTGCCTTTCCACAGAAGATTTACATTTTTGATATTGTTGAGATAGAAAGCAAGCCAGCGGAATTACATCTTAGCAGAGTAGAGGGCAAAAGCTGAAGTGCGTAGCTATGCAAGATGGAGGCACGCGAAGAGAAAAGTTTTGGTTTACAAGGAGAGTTTCAGTTCTTAATTATTACGTCATCCGAGTTGCGCGGGCCATAGAGTGATCTAGAAATGACGCAATGCAGATAAGTTATTACGATTTTAGAATAGAGAGGAATTAATGTTTATAGTTATATTATAATTCTGATTCATATAATTTTATCTTACATATATATATATATCTTCAATAAGTTAAGTGCAGAAAAGTGTATATTTTGTTGTGAAGTTTGTAAAGATCTTAGAAAATAAATTAGTTTCTTGGGATAACTTTTAATGCATATTCTTTATAAAAGCTTGATGAACATTTGTCTAATTGGACTTTTTGCATCAGATTTTGTGTTTTCAAACTATTCTATTCCCAGTGCTGAAATATTCTCTAACAGTTTTCTACCTCAATTTGAAAAAATTCATGGTTAGATTATATACATAAAGCCAGTGCTGTAGCTGTAGTCACATTTTATTTTTGAGTTATGCCATAAAGCTGTAGTCACATTTTATGAACATATTAGTATATGTTTAATTATGAACCATGCTGGCCCAAATATAAGATATTTTTCTCTTCCTTGAAATGTCCATCTGAAAACCATATGCATTTTTGATGCATAACCTAAAATTCATTAAACGTAATTTATTATCTATCCCTAGAATCTTGCATTAGAACCCTTTTAACATGTCAAGGTCACCATCTTATGTAATATTCTTGTTTCTTATGTATGAAATAGTTAAGGAAATGCTGAGTTAACTTGCATGTAAAACTGCTGAATATAATCGACAAGCATGGTATACTTTTTTTAATAATTTTTATAAAATTTTTTTAGTGTTTCATATTTGAAGAGTTTAAATAGTTGCTATTATTTTATTGTAATCCATTCCTAATTTGTTTTGTAGATGTATATTTCTCTGGAGGTTGCCAATTGATGTTACCCAAACTATGCTGAATAAACAAATCAGTGAAGGTATTGGATTACCAAATTTATGGCAGGATAATAGGTATAAATTAATATCAATGTATAGTAATTTATTTTTGAGTTATAAAATGCCAAGGATTTATACATGTTTTCCCTTTGTAATTATTTTTTTATTATTATTTTGCCAGAAAAAGTACTGTTGCTGTCACAAAGCCTCTACAGTTGCTTGAAGCAAGTGAGGAAAAGAATGCAGATGAAACTGATCTAGTCAATGAAAATAATCATATTGAAATTACACCTCCGGGATATCGTTTTAGTGTTGGACAGCTTCCACTTTGGGCCAAAAAACAGGTTATAATCTCATTTGAAACAACAGTTTTCTGTTATTTTTTATTTATTATATCGTATTGGCTTTAAATGTGTTTTTGTTTCATTTTATAGTGTTTTGTTTGCTTAAATTATATTTAGCAGACTATATATTATAATATAATGAATTCATTTCTATATGAAAAAGAGTTTTTCATTTTTATATAAGTAGATGATTCTTTGCTTAAAAAGGTCAGTTTTTTATTGTATGTAAAACAATTAGATGTTGGAGAAACTTCAAGAAAGTCCAGGCATAAATCAAAATCTTCCACCACCTGTACCTCCTCGTGGAAGATGGGCCCAGCGAATTGATGGACAAGGTTTAGTAGTTCGATCTTACTTGGACTCTGATTCTGTCATTCCATTCCCTAATGTTCCAGGTAATTAAATAAGTTTTCTTCTAATAATTTCATTTTTATGTTATGATTGTTTCATAATATTTGCTTTAATTATCCATTTTATGCTGTTCTTGGGTGAATAATAATACACAATTTTTGTGCTATAAATTCCTATTTTTCTTTAAAATATTAATTTATAACTCTATAATTGAAAGTTGAAGGAACTGTGATGATTGATTAATTTGGAAAAAGGATTCCTGACAAGAATTTATTGTGTAATTGAAAATCTTTTAACTTCTAGGCATTTCTAATCCTGTAAATATAGTTCCATAGCTGGAAATATGTATGCAGCTGTCATCTGTATAGTATTTGACATATTTACAGTTGGAAAAAGAATTTTTCACTTGCATGGGAAACCTTTTAATGTCATTCTGTTGATTTTATGTCTTTGGAGGTGTTCCCCTAAACAGCAAAAAAATGAAGCCTTTTCTGCATTTCAAAATTACATTGATATAGATATGGCAGCTTTAAATGCAGTTGACACAAAGGGTTAGTTTTAAGTAGACAGTTTGGAAACACTATTGTAATATTATGTGAATCTCAAAATTTACTTTGTAGCTTTCAATACATGATCAAAGATTCAGCAGATGAGAAACTTTTCTTTTTTTTTTTTTTTTCTTTTTTTTTTTTTTTTCATTCTCAGAGCTTTGATAAAAGAATGTCAATAGTTTTTTCTTTTCTTTTCTTTTTCTTTAATCAATTTTTAAGTATGCAAATTGCTTAACTTTCAAGATTTGGTGTTTTTCTTCTTGTAATTCGTACATTATTGTTTCCACAACTGTGTCTCTAAGAAACTAATACTGGAACTAATATTTAGATGTTAAGTTTCTAAATTATTGGACAAATTTTTAGGCATGCAAATTTCTAATAATATGTTTGAAGTACATTTAATTTATAATATATCCAGCGGATCATTATGGACATTTGCAGCATTAGTGTAAATTGACAAAAGATTTTTAATGCCATATGTTATGTACCTCATTGCAAAATTGTTTGATTTTTTTTAAACTACCTCGAAATTATCCGACATTATATCTTTCTTTCTGCCTATCCATTAAAATAATTGCAATTTTAAAACTTCTTTTTTGACACTAGATGGATCTGAAAATTCTAGCAGCAAACAAGAAAAGGAGGATTCCAGTAATAATGAGTTCAACAATGTCTCAGTAAGTTCAGAGTTATCATTCAGATTTTAATAAGTATTGTAGATGATATTTCTTATTAATGCAAAAATCTTAATATTTCTGTTTTGAAAGGTCTTTCAGGTAAAAAAGATATATATATATATATATATATGTACACACACACACACCAATTTCATCTATTCAATCAGCCTCATGTTTTAAAATTTATATTATTTTAGTATCCTCTCCCCCCAATATTGATAGCCAACTTACTATTTATTATTTTATTTTCTTAGAAGAATTATTTTCTGATTTTTAGAAATTTTTCAATAACTTTATTATTAGAAAGACTAGTTAAGATCTCGGAAACAAATCTCCTAAAGAATGTGTTTCATTTGCTAGCGTGTAATACTGCAAATTTGGTTTTGCACAGAATTAAACCGTTCTACTACTTTTCTTCATCGAGTTCTTAAAGACTTAGTATAAAAAAAGAAAAGCTTAAATTTTAAAAGTTTTACTTTAGAAACACAGTATGTCCATTATATATATGCAGTACAAAATTAGCATATGGCAATTTAATAAATTCTACTGTGTACAATTTTTCTGGTAGTTTCTGTAGGATATATACATGAGTTTCTAGTGCTTATACTTTTTGTCATTTTTTTACAAAGAATATTATGTAATTATCCTTTTTTTTAAATATATCTTTGCTGACTGTAACTTCCTATATTGCTAGGAAATAAAGAACTCTTGCTTTGAAGTTTCGGAAGAGAGTGTAAGAGAAATTTTAAATGGAAATTCATTGGAAGAAACTAGAATGGTGAGCTCTATTTCCTTTCAGAAAAGTTTTATGATTCATTACTTTTAAACAAAATTTGTAAATTATATTATATTACTATTGTGTTTTTTTTAGCTTGCTCAACATGTAATGAAAATTAAATGTATTACTAAGTAATTGCAAAAGCATATATTTTTTTATTGTAGAAAATCAGTAAAGTCACGACACGGAGCTCTATAAAAAGTCTCAATAGTTTGAACAATAGACGGGATAAATTACGCCCTTTGTCTTCTAGTAGCAATATCAGATTAGAAGAAATAGATGCAGAAGATGAAAGATCCGATTCTGAAATAAGTGAAATGGTATACTACCCAGCATCTGAAGATGAATCTGATGTTCCTGATGGGTATGTGTTCATACTTTTGTTAATTTTCTCATTTGAAAATATGTAAATATTTCATTGAAAATTTTTTAATGAAATACATTTTATTGTAGATCTTTCCTTGTGTGTGCAAATAATGAAAATAACATCAAAGCCTCCCAGAAACCAAAGCATGAAAAGCTTTTAAATGAAAAACCAATTGCAAATACATCAGGTAAGTATTCAGGATTTTGATATGCTAGCAACAATGTATTGTATTCAAAGTTTATGGGACTTTGATTTTATGTGATGATCCCCCCACCCCAAAGCAAGTTTTGTGCCGACGTTGGAAGCGATCACTCTCTTGGCGAGTTATGTATCACTTGAGTATCATTTGGCCAGATGGCATAGAGCCAATTTTTGCAGCTAGATTGTCTTTTAGAACGGCAAAGCAAGTTCCAGCAACTTTGGTTTCCAGTAACCTCGAGAAATGAGAGACGCGCATGTGCAGTGCATGTTGAACTAAAGAAAATACTTATTCTTTTATAAAACAAAATTGGTTTAATCCTAGTATAGGGTACCATGGAGAATAGCCTCTATTCTATTTTAACCTCCATGTGCCGTATACACGGGATTTAACAACATTATGATAAGCATTAAACAGGTCATTTTGGTGTTGGCGACAGTTTTCAAAATCATGCCAAGGCCGTAGTGTATACTAGTATTTTAACGCAAAATCTTTTAAACCTTTTTTTCTTTTAAACAAATGCCTTATTTGTCATTTTGCAGTGAAATAAAAAAATAGTAATCAGTCACCTAGGCTAACCATTTAATGTAACCAAAATATCGTTGATTTTTATAATTAAATTTTTAAATAATTATCTTTATTTTAATGTTATTCGTATAATTTAACGTTGCTTCTTCCCCCTAAATTTATTTAGTATTAGTAAATGATACTTTCAAATTTCAGGAAATTTTCTCTGGCATAATCCTGAAACTAATTCTAGCAGTATAATGACATACCATCACGGAATTTAATGCACATATTTTTTGCTTTGGTATGCTTTTAAATAAATATAAAATACCTTAATTTATTTAAAAATATCATTAAATAGATTTATTTCTTTCTTTTAACTGCAAAATGTCTGCGAAAAAAAAAGACATTTTTTTAAATCCAGATTACGCAGATTCTAATCTCTGTCTTCAGTGGAGAAAACGACTTCTATTATAGTTATAATACTAGTAATGCTTTGGGGATTATATATATATATATAAGTCATATGAAATTGGCAATTTTTTGTGTTTTCAAATGGTACCATAATTTACTCTTAGCACAGCCAATGTGCATTACATGGATAGACTGGCATTTTCTTAAAACACACCTGGAAAAGTCAGGGAATTTCATTCTCCTGTTTGAGTGGCTACCCTGAATATTGTTTACTTCCATGGGCACGTGTATACCTTGGGTATTCATTTGCTCACACATGCATATTGTGCAGGTTCAAGACACTGCCCTGTGTAAAAGAGGCTTCATCAGAAAACAAAATCTTGCTGCCGACCCATTTGTGCAAATTAAGTGTATGAATGCAACGTATTGGAGATAATCAGCATCACGCAATGCCTGTGCTGTTTGGACATGGTAGGGGTGTAGCATGTCCTTGTGTAGTATGTGCATGGTGGTGGAAGGCTGTACATGCAAAATGCATTTGTTTGCTCGGAGACATGTTTGCAGGTTTGTCTCATATTCCCGCAGCACAACTTTCTGTACAACAGGTGTGAGTATAGTGCGTTCTCGAACAATGTGGCTACTTACTTGAAAAGCTCCTGCCTCATGCTATATGCAATGCAGTTGTCCAAACAAAGCATGATTTGGCTGACATCTGTTAAAGGAAGTGCTCAAGGTACATCCGTACCGACATGCAATACATATCAGCCAATTTTGGGTTAGTAAACTGATTCATTATTCTCTTGCAATATCCTTGCCTGAAATGATATTCTTCCCACTCTCCATAAGTCTATGAACACTGCCCTCTAGCTGTTGCCATTTGCATATTCAGATGCAGGTTCTTATAAAATTTTCTTTGTTAGAGTATGACAGACCAGCTTTTTAAATTTGGTAATGACCTTTTGATACGCCCTGTAGAAGACATCAATAAAAAGTCTTGTGGATAGTAGCAGCAGCATAGAAAATCTGGTGATCAGATTTCATTCAGAGTTAAGGGAAGTTTCACACACAGATTGTTTTCAAATATTTTCATAAACAAAAAAAACGTGATGCCTTTGCTGACATTAGTATCCAGGTTATAGATCCATGCTGGTTCTCAAGTCTCTGCGTTAAAATGGACAGTATCCCTTTGTGCTGAAAAGACACTGGACAGTTGCTGAAATATCCTGTAGCAGTTCTATTAAGATCTCTCTTAGAATATTTTATTAAGCCAAGTTAATTTTTTGGGAGATAAAACATAGTGAAAAGCTCAATACCAGTAAAAAATATTGGCAGCAAATCTTTGCTAATCAGCATTTGTCAGTGTAGCAAATAAATTCATGTTTGTCCAAATATTATAGTTGTGAACATTGAATATGCTGTCCATGAACAAAAGTGGTATCGTACATGAGGAGCATATGTGCTTGAAAGCCTAACTGCCTTGCTTTGTGCTGTATAAATCAGTGAGCGAAATCAGCATTATGAGGTGATCCCCAGTTCTCACTGTATGAATTCTGCGCAAGCAAATAGTAGAGGTGTAAATATTGTACATTCAAAGCTATTTGTACTGTAGTATGGTTCTCATGCTCATGTCCTAATGTCTTAAAACTTATGTAGAACATGGTCTTTCATAGTCATTTCTGAAGTTCTCACTCTTATGGCATGATCTACACATCTTTTTCACCTTGAATGTTTTCATTTCACAAAGCTGATGTGTAAATGTGAAATTATTATTATATAGCATTCATGTGGTGGGAAAGCATTTGCAACCACAATTGCTCTCAGACTTGCCAGGTTTGTGCATCAGTTTCACACCCGCTTTCTCAAGCTTTCATAAATTGATCTATCACAAGAAATCTATTATAACTCATAGAGTTTCTAAAGGCACTTATTTGTAAAGAACACTTGAAAGCACCCCTACATTCTTCCTGCTTCAGCTGTGTCTATACACAAAATATATTACAAAAAATGTTGTTTTTCTGTGTCTTACCACCCAGAAGTTTGTCTCATGAATTTAGATGCACTGAGTATTTAAAAATGTTGTATGCTTTTTATGTATTGCTGCATGTTTTGTAAAATAGTGTGGCACAAATTCTCAAATCTGGATGTCCAGAATGCTCTAATATCTGAACCTCCAGACCATTAAAAAAAAAACCCTAAACCCTCCTAAAAAACTTAACTAAAGTCTAGAAACTTAGAAAAAGTAGGAATGTTGTAAAAGCAAGCCCCCCCCCATTACTGAGATTCCTCTGTGTCACTTTCAGACACCTGCTGGCTAGGGAATGACACTGTGACCCAATAACAATACATTGATTGATTCTGTATTGATATCAGCCACGGCACACATTTACCCCTTGAGTGGCTGGGGGATAGTGTTTTTCTGTATGACCTAAGCAATAAATAAAGTCTCAATACTATTAATTTGAGGTGAGATGTTGCTCGTGCTGATTTTCTTTTGTTGGTATAACAACAAAAACGGGATATAGATTGTGAGGAACTTAAGTTCAATTAACGTTGCAAATTGTGCTCTTCTGTTAATTTTCTGAATTTTAGCAACTTATTATTTTGTTTTTGTGAAAGTTTCCTTAGTTTGTACTTGTCAAAATTACAGTTTTAATAAATGATATCATCTCTGTTCGTTCTTTTTATAAGTCTGTGTATCTGTCAATCAGCCTATCATTATCGACATTTTGTATGCGCTGAAATGCAGATATAAAGTAGAATTTGAAATCCAGGTGCCGATGTAAGACCATCCAACAATTCTAGAATATTTTAATATAAAATTTGATTATGTGGGACATTACAAGATCATGAGAAGTCATTTCTACAGATATTTTAATAACTTGCATAATTTACAGTCAGCTACCAATTTCTTCATAATAATGATAGCTGTGAAACTGAAGGTTTTCGTGTATTACAAGAAAAAGCAAAATTTTCCATTTAATGGAATATCGGCAGAAATGCTAAGATGATATAACTCAAGTATTACATTGCAGTGACAGTGCCTCAATCATCAGTCAATTAATAGTGGTAATGTGAATTTTAAATTAAAAAAATATCGCTATTTCAACTTCAGTTCACATGGTGATGACTACAAAAAGAAACTTTTTTATGCAAAAATACCTCTTTCTTAACCCCTTCGAGCCGGGTAGTGCAAACGCACACTTATCGCGGAGGCCGGCAGTGTCTTACGCGAGCGTCTGTCCAGGGCCGTTGGCTTTTTTGCTACTAAGCCTAAATCTATGAAATTTCCGAAGTATCAATGCATTGTTTAATAATGCTCTATAGAGTATTTAAATGGCTTATGCTTTATAGATATTTTTATACTATATACTTTAATTACCTTATTTCTTGTTTAAATGCATATTTTACACATTTTATTTTCATTACTCACCATTTTATGACTTTTAACATTATACATCTGAAAACTAAATATATTACTTCAAATTCTCTTTTCGTATGAAAAATTTGAAAACGGGGATCTACACACATTTCTACGTTACATTCCTTGCACTCGTAATAACTCATTTGCTGTTTTGGAGGATTTTTCCGGGAATGTGAACAAACAAAGCATCGTCATCTCTTCTGAACAAAGTTTTGGAAAATGTCTTTCAGTTAATCTTTCAGAATCAATATCAGAATATCTGAATTTCAGAATCAATATTTGAAATATTTTGCATCATTTCTGCTATTTCATGCTCTGTTAAACATTTTCGACGCTTCGACATTGCAACGGTAAAAACAGAAAGAATTCACGTCTAACAAGATCTAATTATTTTCTAAACATTGAACTGCAAACCGAAATACCCAACGCTTTAGCGCAAATAAAACTTCTCTACTTAAATAAACAACTACCACGTGCGAATAAAGTGAGATTTAAAGAGACATCATAAATCACGCCATTCGGAAACATTTATTTCCTCTTTTGTTTATATAATCAACACGTGTATGTGAGTCATGCTTCTCTTATTTCGAGTAGAAGGTCTAATGTACATGTATCTGAAACCATATGGACATACAGTGCCATCTTGTGGCAGAAATTATAGTTTTTACAACGTTCCAGGACACTGGCACAAATTCGTGACAGTCGGTAGTGAACGGGAAAATGTTCTGGCACGCCTGTGTGTCGGCCGGGAGGTGAGTGTGTTCGTTGCTGGCACGTAGACGTGACAGTCGGCGCGAAGGGTCTAAAGAAATAAAAATAATGAGCATTTTTTAATGTAATTTTTACATGTCATCTTACTCAATTAAAATTGATGATCTAAAATCTGGAAATTTCCAAAATCCAGAATCATCAACATTCCAATTCCAAATTTCAGATCTATAATTTTGTAATAAAAGCATTAGAAATGGACCATAAATTTTGAAATTTACATTAATTTATTAGCTTGTTTTTCATGATATGACACCTTGCATACCGGAATAGAACTTTACATACCATCATCTAGCATTTAACACCTTCACATCCAATCCGCCCAACACTGCCCTACATTGAAACAACCAAAACCGCCCGAAAACGGCCAAGATTGTAATCTTCTTTTTCTCCCTCCCCCTAATGGTATGCAGTAGCAGGTGCACTTTACCCAAATGCATTGTATCAGTTTACCACAGACAGCTTGTCCTAAGAGATTTTTTTTATCTTTTGTTTGATCGTAACACTTCGTTGTTGATTCTTTTGTGGTACGGTATGCTTTTAAGCTTTAAACAGCAATAAAAGAGCAGTTTAAAAATTTAAGGATTATATTTATTTTAAAACAATTTATTCCTTCCTATAAAAATAACGGAAATAAAATCTCAGTCGTGATCATAACAAAGCCGGAAAGGCTTGTTGATCTGACCTTCAGAATAGTTTTATAAAGACCGGGGTCAAAGGCTAATGGAATCTTTGTTAGAAAGTACAAATGATGTCATTGGAAATCTTCACACCTATTTTCTGCATTAATGTCTGGGGAGGGGAGGAAATTGCTGTGAAACTAGAAAAAAATTTCGGGCGGTCCGGGTATTTTGAGGATACTGCTTAGCGAAGAGTCTGGATATCAAAGAGATAATATATCTTGAAAGATAAAATCAGCAGTATGCTTGTCTATGAGTATTATTTGTACTGAACAAGAGATTTCTAATTCCATGACATTAGGCATTCATTATGCTGTTTTTTAAGGTCCTGCAAAGTGATTTTATGAAAGCTGTAAAATATATGATCTACAAATGTTACAGTTTGATAAATTAAAGTGCTTTAATTATTAAATTTATGAGTATTAACCCACGAGCTCGCTGGGTTCACTGAACCCGCTCGATTAGAGAAACCTTTCTGAAAATGTCCCTATTTTTCCCAAGTGGTTGTGGTTCAGTGTAGTCTCCTCCAAGGCCATGCTCTTTATGTTTCTGAAGATTTTTGCCTGAAATTTTATTTGAAGTTTTGTTTTAATGGGATCGGGTCTTCCAGACCCAGCGCACCTATTTGCATTGCTGTAAGGTAGTTCATTTGTGGTAGCACAGAAGACTGCAAACATGTCACATTATTTATTCTATAAGGAAGGAATGTTATGTTTGCAAAAATTATTTGATGTATCAACTGTTGAAGACTCCATTGAAGAAACCGATGGTGAAAGTTATAATGAATTTTTTAGTTCTCATGATACTGATTTAGAAATTGAGATGCATTCTGAATACGAAAATGAGAAGGACATTTATTGCTTTATTGGAAAAGACAAAAAAAAAAAAAAAACAATGGTAAAAATAAAGTCTAAAGCTGATGTTGGAACACCTACTTAATTGCCTGGAAAAATCGGTAAGGCAAAATACGTGTAGACTCCAAATGAATCGTGATAACTTTTATTAGGTGAACAAATGTTGCTGAAAGTCGTCAGTTATACAAATATTTATATTGCATCTATTTCTGATAGCTTTCAAAGAGAGATAGATGCTCATAACACGACTCTAACTGAAATTCGCATTTTTATATTTTTGTGATATATGTCATCTCATGTAAATGTGTGGAATCTGCGGGCAATAAATGGAACCGGCTGGGAAATTTTCCACAAAAGTATATCCTACAAATGTTTTCTTTTTTTTATAAAGATGTTTGCGTTTTGATGACATAGGAACTTGTGTCGTCAAGAACGAATCAGATAAACTTGCACCTGTAAGAGAGTTTTTTGAAGATTTTGTGAATAACTGCCAGAAATATTACACTGTTAGTGAGTTCATAACAATTAATGAGAAACTTGAAACCTTCCGAGGAAGATGTTCTTTAAGCCAGTATATAAACCTGAATAATAATACCTGAATAACCTTAATAATAATAATATATAATGAATACTTAATGAATTCTCTATTAATATAATACGTTTTTCTATTCTTTTAAAAAGTGTGTTTCATATAGAATATTATAGAAATTGAAATTAAAATTTTTTAATTTTTATAGTTTACATATTTTTTAAGTTTGGTCATAAAATTTTGGCATAAATATAAAACTTTTACCTGAAGAGTAACAGTTTTTTCTTCAAAAAACAGAAGCTGCGTCTTTTGGACCCAGGGCGCGCGCTCGTGTAACTCAAAAGAGCACGCACGCTCGCTCCCGGGTTAATAAAGAATTTGAAGGTGTCATACACACAATAAATTCCTTAAGCTTTCAGTTTTAATGGTGAAATTTTTAATGTATTTTTTATTTCTTTAAATGGCATATTTTAATAAATACATTCCCTATTAATTTGTACTTTCTAAAATGTATATTCTAAATGCATATAAATGCGCAAAAATTTTATTGTCTCCGTTTACATGATTTCTGTTATAGCTTGCTTTATGAAAATGATCTGATTAAATTTATATTGTCAAATCTCAGCAGAATTTTTTGTATAACCAAAGTAAGCATTACTGTCTAAGTTTCAAGATTTGCAAATGTACTTTATTATGTTCATTATCTAAGTTCTAAAACAGTATGTAGTAAATGTTAATTGTATGCTTTTATTAAGATTTATTATTATCATTATAATTTCTTACATTGGTATAGTGGACATTCACCGCATTTTTGTTCTGTAAGTGCTTATTCTAATTTATTTTACTATGTAAAATTTCAAAATTTGACCCATGAAGTAATAACAAACTGTTTTAATAAATATTTTGAACCAACTAGCTAAATATTTTGGAGTAAAAAAAATTAAATTGTGGTATCTGTAAAAAATGGTTATTTTGTTCCCTTTATGAAGTATTAATACTTCATTGATCTGGAAATTTATATTGGTGGTATGCATATTGTATTTCCTTGAGATTTTCATTTTTAAATGAGAGCAACAACCTGGAAAGAGTAGTCGGTTTTTTGTACCATTATTTCATAGAATAAAAATGTAACTTCATTGCCAAAATTCTGTTGAAATGAAAGATTGTGTAGGAGATCATATGTTGAAGAAAAGACTATTTAAAATAACCTGTAATAAAATAAATTGGAATTTTTTTTATAAACATACTTAATCAAATTTGAATAAATAATTTTTTCAGAGCATATTGAGACAAATAGTGATGATGAAGAAGCCAGTACCCCTGTTGATAGTGAACGATCCTTTCTTAGTTCCTTGTGTATTAGTACAGAAAATTTAGAGAGGTTGGGGCAGAGAGAAAAATTTATGAAAAGTAATTATGAAAGCCTTGAAAAGACAGATTCTGTTGATTTACACCAAAACGATGTAGAAGATAAGAATTTATACAGACAGAGTATTTCTGCTAAATTTCTAGCAGGTTCACTTACGCCATTGAAAAGGTATTTAAGTTTTCTTTTCATATATATGTGTTTTTATTTCATTTCGTAGTATATATTTCAGTAATTTTATGCAAAGTATCTTCATTTCATTAATATTTTAAAAATTCTTTCCTCATCATAAATAATAATGAGTGATAGATGTATGTTAATTTTAATTTGTATCTTTTTTTTATTATTTAACCCGCGAGCACACGCACCGATCCGACGAACACGAGAACACACGCCAGGTATGTCATACCTGAATAAAAATATTGTAAATAAAAATTTGCCGAAAAAAATTAATCGTTTTTTTAAAAGAAATTAAAATGTAAAACCAAATTAATACTTCATTTTAGATAAAATAGGAAACAATAAGGAGAGGAAAAATTATTTACTTGCAATTTTTTAACATTGTTTACAAAATGGAGTCATATGTTCCATGTATATACTTTTGCTACAATTTTCGCAAATGAATCTAGTCTTTCTATCGTTTTTCTTGGAGCACTCTGTACACCTCTTGTAAGTCATTTCAGGTTTTTTGGAGGGCGGTCCATTGTTAACATGTTCATCGGTGGTCAGAGTTCGTCCAGAATCAAGGACCACAGATGCTCGTCGTCGTTCATTTTGAACATTTTCTATTAGCTGCATCCCTAAGGCTTTGAGAAAAGTACTCATCCCGTTCATGAGTTAAATTTTCTCGTACTGAATCAATATAAATATTTGTTATTATCAACTACATGTTTTAACATACTATCTTCATCGATAAGCAATGACAAGGACTCTAGATGGTGTTGAGACGTCTTTAGAATACTTTGTATTTCCAGGGAGTTTAGCTATAATATTTTTGGCCCCAATTCTAACATTAGTCCGGAATTAATTTTTGTTCCATTTTACTCCATTTTTTCGAACATAAAACTCATTGCTACATTACAGAGTTTCATTTTCTGTTTCTGTATCTGAATCACTACTCTATATGGATGAATCATGATTACTAATTATATTCTTCATCATCAACATCTTCCTCTTCTTCACTAAATGAATCCTCATCAGAAAAAACTGTTTCAAGGAGATTTCTCAATCTTTTCATCTCTTCATCGTAAGGAATATACGGCCCCATGCTTACAACTCAAGAAAAAACTTATACTAAAAGCTTGAAAACGAGAAGTTGCGAAGTGACTCACTGAGAAACGCCAGTACACGCGCGGGTATGACATGCCCGAACAATGCTGGTCCTAAAAAACCGTTGCACTTGCCACCTCAGGAATTCCCCCTATTTAAGTATGTGACCTTGAACTCAGCTACACCAAGTTTCATCCTTTTATGAAAGAATGGGCGAGAAATATACAAAAAGAAAAATGCACATGCGTATGACATACCCGCCGCGTGTGCTCGCGGGTTAAAAAAGTTACTGTTAAAATCTTAAAATAAAAAGAAAATTAATGGTACTGTAAAGTAGTTGTATTTTAATTAAGCTACTTGTCTTCCCAAATGGCCTTAATGATAGAAAAAAATATGGGTGCTATTTGATCTTTAAGAAAATGCATTTTTTTTTATAAATGTTATATGTATGTATAAAAATTAAAATTAATTGTAGTAGACAATAAATTGGCAATTCATTCATTATCTATACAATGCAAATTGTTTACTATGTAGAAGATTAAGCTACTTGTCTTCCCAAATGGCCTTAATGATAGAAAAAAATATGGGTGCTATTTGATCTTTAAGAAAATGCATTTTTTTTTTATAAATGTTATATGTATGTATAAAAATTAAAATTAATTGTAGTAGACAATAAATTGGCAATTCATTCATTATCTATACAATGCAAATTGTTTACTATGTAGAAGAAATTTAATATAACTTTTTTATTTGTCACATTTAATACAGTTTTGTCAGCAGTGTATTTAAATTAACATAATTAAAACAAAAGTTGTTTAATATATGCATTGATTATTATATTTAATACTATTACATAAGCAGGTTATCTAAAATATTAATATATATAAACTTGACAGAAAATTCTATTTCATTATCACAAATACAGACTTTTCTGGTGGTCACATCAATAGTTTCCACTGCTAATGCCTTTAACATCAATGGTAGCTTCTTTTCTAATTATAGAAAATTGGAAAGAGTGAGCATAATGAATATTTTTCAGTGAAAAACTATTATATTGGCAGAAATACAATAGTTATGTTATTAATTGTTATTTTTTGTACATGCGCAGATCGATAATTGCATATACTGTATATTATTTATAAAATTAGTTCTTTTAAATTTCAGGAATTCTAAATTTTAGTCTTATTTTAATATATTTTTTTAATTTTAGATATGAGACTTAACAGTATTATTGAATTTTTATTTATAATAATTTTAAATGCATATTTTAGTTTCAGTATGACTCAATAAATATTTTAATCTGTTTTGATATCTCGTCTGAAAAATATTAATGATTATTATTTCTTTAAAAAATCGTTTAATGTAACTGATTGCATTTGAAACATGTATCAAATCAAACTTGTATTTTGTATTTGTAGGTCATATATGAATGGAGCAAAAAGTCCTGTAGTTCCTGAAAGACAGGTATACTTCTTTGTATTTTTATGTTACTTTTTAATTTACTTCTGTTACAGTCATGAATAATGTTCATCATATTGTTGTATTTTAATTAAGCTTACCACACCAACAAAGAAAAGAGAAGAACTTTTAAAAGCACTGAATGAAGCAAAGAAAAAACTGGAAACGGTTTGTATAACATTTTTATGAATTTATTTTTTTCTCAATATATATTGAATCTGTAATTTAATAACAAAACTGCATTGAATTTGTTTCTTTAATTTTAAAAGTCGTTTGTTTTCAAGATTGTTTTATTTTGAATTTTCGAGATAATAGTGTGGGGCTGTTTATGTGGCATTGGATTTTTGATTAAAAATACAAGAGATAAATTTCAGTGTCAATGCTGTTACAAGTAAAAGAAACTTTTTTTATATATATTATATTTTATTGTTTTGGATGTAGGCCAGCATTCACAAAACGAATATATTGTAGGAATTTTTAAGAGAGCAGGGTTAAATTCTTTAAAATGGGTTATTCATTGATTTAATTTCTAATTTGATGTAGTCCCTATTAAAATGCAAATATTAATTCTTCAGAGAAATATTACTGCGCTTTGTATAATCAAAATGTTTAAATATAATATTTAGCAGTTGTAGGATATTTCTCATTTTTTTGCTTATATAGAATAGACATAAAGTAAGAATTTTAATCTTTGCTTAGGTATAGAATTTATGTGCCTATTTTATAATGATTGTTAGTGAAAAATGGTTATTTTATATGTTTATATTCTGCACTTAATAAATCAGTTTCTGCTCATGCATTTTTCCATATCAAGGGTAGTAATTAATTCAGTTAAATGAAAGAACAATGTGTCCATAATTTCAAGATACTAACGTTATAAATAATATAAGAACTAAAGCACAAAGTGATTATCTGCATGATAATAGGTAGATGTAATTATTGAACATAAGACAAAATATTAGCAGTAGTAGTAGTAATATATTAAAATTTTATTAAGCAAAGTATACTTAAAAATAGTTTTCTTAAAAAAAAAAAAAAAAAAAAAAAATCATTGGCTACACAACTGATAAAATATTGTTCCGTGCATGCGGGTTCGTTTGAAATGAATGCACAAGTCCGATAAAAAATGAACAAAAAATTTATTATTATCTCAAGAAAATGCTTAAATTTCTCAAATATTCATTGCAGTATTACAATATCTCACAGTAGTTATCTTTTAACTACTCAAACGTTCAAAAGAACTTAATTCAAAACAGCTAAAGAAAGCTAATCCGCGAATTCGCTACAATCAACAAGAGCAGTTTTCTAAAACAACAACAAACTAAGCAACTACTACCAACGTTTTCCTCCTTTTATAAGATTTTAAATCACGCGCTGAGAATTTTCTAAGTACTTTCTCGAAATCAAAAAGAGATATTTATTTTAATGTTAAATGCACGCGCTCTTGTATTTTCAATTTTCCGGCTTAGCTTTTTCTTTTAATATTCGTCACGCGCTGCACTGCGCGGCAAATGAAATCATTTAATTTAGAATTGAACTAACATTAGCTTTTTAAATACCAAATTCGTAACACTGCCCCCTTTCCAAGGACTGCACGTCCCAGGCAGTACAATCCCTGGACAGGAAGCCAAACTTACAACTGAGGCATAAACATTACATTACTATATCAAACAACATGAACAATAAATGTAATAGATAACTTAAACAAATCAAATACCAAATGCATATCAAATACTAAAATCAAATCAAATACACATTTAAAAACAAAAAGGACCATGGTCTTTGATTATAATTGTAAATAATTGTAAATAGTCTTATACTATTTACAATTATTTACATTACGCACTATGGCCGTAGTAATGAACGACTTTAGGTTTAGAGTTCGAAGACTTACGGATCCGAACCATGACGTCATTCAGCCTGTTTAGGACCGTGTACGAACCATCCCAAGGTGACTGTAATTTCGGACAAAGTCCTTTCGGTCAAGTCGGATTCCACAACCACACCTTGTCTCCTTCGTTGGAATTGATGTCCAGTAGCTCTTGTGTCGTATCTGGTCTTCATCTTCTCCGTCGCCAAGTTCACTCGCTTTCGTGCAAACGTTGTGCATCACTTCAAAACGGGCCTGGACATCTTGGATGTATTCCTCAGGCGATGAAGGAGCATCCGTAGGGCGATCAAACAGGTGGTCACAAGGCAGACGAAGGTCTCGATGGAAGAGCATCTGGGATGGAGAATAGCTGGTAGTCTTGCGTTTTTCTTTTCGACCCTAGTATGATTTTGGCAGCTTTCTGAGCTGGTCTTTCGGACAAGGCGTCGGCATTTCCAGGCGAGGATCCCTTTGAGGATGGATAGTCATGTCATCAGATGCTGAAAGCAGTTTGTTGTTTTTGAAGTCTAAGGAAAAATTTTATTTCCTTAAAAAGTACAATCCAAGTATGCATGGATCTGTAATATCCATTACATAAGCCGTGTGATGAAAGGCTGCACTTCCAAACGTGATGTTCACGTTTAACTTCCCAGCTATGTCGATCTTATCACCAGACGCAGTCTGAAGGATAGCAGAGGATTGCGTCCAAATAAGTTTAAACTGTTCAGCTAAATCTTTCCTAATGATGGTAACATTAGCTCCTGTGTCAATGATCGTATTGCATTAGCTCCTGTGTCAATGATCATATTGCAAGGAACTTCATCGATATGCCCATTAATGGACAGTCCATTACTGTTGCCACTCACTGTAAAATTCTTGAGCGTTTTAAAACAAGGTTTTTCATTCTCTGGCATCCTCCGTTCCTCGATATGGTCATTCATTTGTTTCCTCCATCGTGACTGGGAAATGGTCTCGATTTTCGTACTTTGGGGTGTTCTGCAATTCTTTCATACGTGGCCTTCAGATCCACAGCTCCAGCACTTTAGTTTGTAGTCAATCCTTTTCCGTCCCATGTCATTTAATTGTCTGTTTAAGCCGCCTCTCTTATTTTCCGTGCTCTGGGGTCGTCTGCATTGTCGTTGTATATGCCCTTCAATTCCACATTTCCAACACCTTAGAGCCACTTTGTTCTCACTTCTACTCTGTATCAAAGCATTGACTTCTCTAGCTAAATCATCTAAACGAGCCATCAGTTGATCCACTGGCTCGTGGATTCGCATAGCTCTGACTGGGTAGCGATCTCTATGAGTTGCTTGCTGGGCTGCCTCGAATTTCATGGCGTACACTAAAGCGCTTTTCAAATCTTTAACATCTGCCATTCGCAGTGCTTTCTGTATTTCAGGGTCCCGGATGCCATCGATGAAATATTGCAGAGGACAGGATTTCCCTTGTTTCTGTCGGGCACTCCGTAAAGGCGAGGTGGGACAGCCTTTCAACATCCATGGCGAGTTCCTGGAGTGATTCGGTGGGCTTCTGTTGACGGGATTTTAATTGAAGCCTGCAGTAGTCTTTTAAACATTTCTTGCCAAAGCGCAGCTCCAATGCGCCAGATAGAGCTTCGAAGTCAAGTCTTTGGTTTTCGGGAAGCGTCCGCAGGATATCCACTGCGTCTGCTGTCAGAGAAGCAGCAAGATGACAAGCCTCAGCTTGGGAATCCCATCCATTCGCATCCGCCACTATAGAAAACTGTGTTTTATACACTTGCCAAGAGGTCTTCCCATCATATGTAGATAACTTCAGAGAGGAACGGGCAGGCGTGGGTAGAAATTTAAAGCCATCACTATTGTTCCCTGCCGTCGCTACAAATTTCTTTAAAATATCCACTTCTTTGGCTACTGCAGAAACCCTATCATCAATTTGGTGTTGGATGGCACAAACTCTTCCTTCAATTCGTTCCTCCACAGCAGAAACTTTCCCTTCTATTTGTTCTTTGACGGAGGAGACTCTTTCTTTAATTTCTCCAACCTTACTTTCGACAGAGTCTATTCTACCTTCTATAGTCTCGAATTTGTTTTCTATTACGCAGGTAATTTCTCTTTTCATTTCCTCTTGACCTGCTTTCATCTCGTCTTTAACGGATTCCTGTCCCGCTTTCATTTCTTCCTGTCCTGCTTCAATCTTTTCCTAATTAGATTTCATCTCTTCTTTCATTTCTTCTTTAAACGAGGCAAAGGCTGATATCAACTGTCTTAATTGCTCTTCCATCGCTCTTGTTATTGGCATTCAAACCCCACTCCTGACACCAAAAATTGTTCCGTGCATACGGGTTTGTTTGAAATGAATGCACAAGTCCGATAAAAAATGAACAAAAATTTATTATTATCTCAAGAAATATGCTTAAATTTCCTCAAATATTCATGCATTACAAAATCTCACAGTAGTTATCTTTTAACTACTCAAACGTTCAAAAGAACTTAATTCAACACAGCTAAAGAAAGCTAATCCGTGAATTCGCTACAATCAACAAGAGCAGTTTTCTAAACAACAACAAACTAAGCAACTACCACGAACTGAGATGTTTTCCTCCTTTTATAAGATTTTAAAATCAAGCGCTAGAATTTTCTAGTACTTTCTCGAAATCAAAAAGAGATATTTATTTATTTAATGCACACGCTCTTGTATTTTCAATTTTCCGGCTTAGCTTTCTTTTAATATTCGTCACGTGCTGCACTGCACGAGAAATAAAACCATTTAATTTATAATTGAACTAACATTAGCTTTTTAAATACCAAATTCGTAACAATATGTGCAGTATTAATTGTAAAATTAATTTTAACAATGTTGTTTATAGTTTTAAATAAGTGTATTTGGTCTTTACTTATGCATAGCATAAACACAAACCACTATTAACTTTGTCTTAAATAATTAGCAAGCAATATATGATGAACTCAACTGCAGATTTCATTTTAATAACTACAGGCATATCAATTGCTGTAATATTTTCTTCTCTCTATTATTCTTTTTATTTGCTTTATGCAGAAAGTTGTACTTGTCTCCAATATTTCTTTAAAACAAACTATAGATATAGAAAATATATGTCATCTAATTTGGTATAATAATTTTTATTCTTGCTGTGAAAGAAATTAAGATGAAGTAATAATATTTTATTTATGAATTCTATTTATAGGTAGGGTATCGGAGTGGATTGAGTAGTAGCAAAAGTATTGCAGATTTACATAGTACACCTGACCGTGAAATTTTTAAATCACCTAAATATTGTTCTCCTGGTAAGTTAATTAATATGAATGTGTATGTGTGTTGTGTGCATGTGTTTTTGATGCTCATTATTAAGTAATATACTTAGGAAATGTTGCAATGTGTGCATAATTTCAAGATACTAACCTTATAAATAATATGAGAACTGAAGCACAAAGTGATTATCTGCATGATAATAGGTGGATGTAATTATTGAACCATAAGACAAAATATTAGTAGTAGTAGTAGTAGTAGTAGTAGTAATATATTAAAATTTTATTAAGCAATGTATACTTAAAGTTTTCTTTAAAAAAAAATAAAAAATATAATAATAATAATTAAAAAAAAACATTGATTACACAACTAATAAAATATGTGCAGTATTAATTGTAAAATTAATTTTAACAATATTGTTAACAATGTTGTTTATAGTTTACATCTTGGAGAAATGCAAAAAAATATATAAACATAAAATGTTTATATATATATGTGTATTTTTTAATAAGAGATCCAGTAGCAAAAAATATATTTGATTATTGGAAAAGTAAAATTATAATTATATGAAAGGAAATAAAGGCCCACAAAAAACTTCAATGTATTCTTTAATGCAATTTGTTGATTCTTTAATGCAATTCATAATTGATATGTGATAATGGCTTTAATAAAAAATAAAAGAGCATTACAAGAATTAAGATATAATAACATGCTGAACAAGTATGTTCAAACCCTGTTTGAAGATAATAAAAATGATTTAAATAAAGTTCTTTCTGCAATAAATTCCATTGATCCTACTATTCAGGCCCACCAGCGGCCGAGTGGTAAAGACGCTGAACACTGGTAGTTCGGTCCGAGGTTCGAATCCCACGAACAGGCTGGCTGCATGGGCGTTTTTGTGGTTTTCCCCATGTGTAACGTGTATACGAGCCACTTTCCCTTAGAAAGTGATCCATGAAGGTATCCCTCCCTTTAGGCAGATAGCCCTCGTGTGCTTTGCCATAATTGAATAATCCAATCCAATCCAATCCAATTCTACTATTCAGTTCACTTTTGAACTTGAGACATGATATTTTCTTCTGTTCCTTGACATTCTGGTCACACATAACACATCCAAATTCATTACCACAGTTTACCATCGGTTTACCTTCCACTACTCTTCAAATCATGTCATCTGACTAACAAAAGTTAGCTTCACTTTATTCCTATGTTTTCCGTGCACTTCATGTTTGCTACTCCAAACTATCTCTTGATGAAGAACTAAATTATTTGAAAGCAGTAGCTATTGACAGGGGCTTTTCACCCAACATTATTAATTAAGCAGTTAAAAAATTCTCATCTCATCACATCAAAAGGCACACTCTTGTTTCAGAAGATTATAAGAATTCTGTTGTCATTCCCTTCTTTTCATCAATTAGCTTTAAAATTGCATGTATTTTACAGAAATTTAATTTTCGGGTTGTTTATTCTCCCACCAATAAAATTCCGAGTTCTGTACTCAAGGACCCCATTCCGAATATGAATTCCTGGGATATTTACAGGATTCCTTGCCAGTGTGGTTTAATTTACATTGGTCAAACTAAGAGAGCCTTAAAATTTTGCGTCAAGGAATATGAGGCATATGTTAGAAAAAAGGAAACACTGAAGTCTTCTGTTGACCAGCATTGTTGGTCCGAAAATCACACTTTCAATTTTTCTGCTGCCAAAATTATTAAAAAAACATCTTCCATTGGAGAACTGGATTTTCTAGAGGGATTCCGCATTAAAAAAAAGTCTTTCTGTTCTAGTTAACGACTCTAATTCCAATTCATCTTTGTCTTCAGTCTTTAAAGAAATTATGTTTTAGTTCTCATTTCATCAACAGATGGTGCCTGTAGCTTAACTCCTGTCCAGTCTTTCTTATCTGATCTCATTCATTTGTGCTTTTGGAGCTGAGGATGATGGTTCAATAAAGGTATCGAAACTAGTCCTGTGAAAATTTGAAAATATAACACTGATTTTAGTTGTTTGACTTCTAAATTAACATTACAAGAGTTTTACATTCCTGTTTTACCACCATATTCTTTGTTTATGAGTAGGGAATTGTGTTTCTTGATATGTCTTTCATGATAGTATGAAATTTGAAATGTGAGTACACAGAGTAATTCATTTTGTTTGTTCTTTCACTTAGACCAGATCATCGATAGTAGTAGACGTTATCATGCATAAATGAAATGCAAATTTCCAATAAAACATAAAAATGTCTTAACCAGGTTTAAAGCTACCCAACTATAAAGCAGAGCAATCATAGCTCTTCCTTTTAACGCCAGTAGATTTATATGTCCATTAATAATCATCCCACCATGGTAATAACCAACTTCAGTGATATTTTCTGCAGAACAGAGAGTGTGGGTGTCGATGCCTAGTGGTAATGCCATCAAAAATCAAGTAAAAGAGTCGTATATTTATTTATATATAAAGAGAATATCATCCAATTAGTTGCTGGTTAGTCCAGTTCAAGTGTTGAGAGCTTCATCAGTAATGATATTTTCTGGTTATTGCACTAAATTAAAACAGTCTGATAGCATTTTTCATTTTCATATCGCAAAAATTTAAAAAAAATCTAATGGCAGTCATTTGCTTATGCAGCATCGATCACTCCTAAGGCCAGAAGTGGTTGCCATTTTATTGTGGGGGCACTTAGTAGGAGGCCACTATTGCCTCTTATGAAGGGACGGGCGGTTACAATTGTGCCTTCTCCCGGATTCGAACCTGGGTCCTTTGGTAACACAGTAGGCTCTCCAAACCACTGTACCATCTAGGTGACAATCATCACAAAATAGAGAATTCATTTTTTTTTTTTTTTACAATTCATTTACATCCTTAAACATGAAGCATTGTAAAATTCCAACTTTAAAGAGTAGAGTACTGGAAAGGGTTAAGTACTAATAATCTTCTTGCTATCCAAGATAAAATGTCTTAACAACAAAAAAGTTTTAGGAAAATAAGGGAATTTTTTAAATAACTGGATAAATAACTTTTTTTAAATGACTTTTTTTTTAAGCAACCTTAATTTGGCATAGATTTTAAATAAGAGGGCAATCAGATACAGGTCCTAAATGTTAGCATCTTGTTTGGAAATGTGCTTACTATCACATGTGGCCCTGGCATACTCTGATTAGAATTTCTAAGGAAATACACTTTTTCCTTGGACTCTCTGAGGACAGGTCTATCTTCTTCAGAAGAAAAACGTAGTTTCCCCCCTCCCATAAAAAGAGGGGCCTGTTTCTGATCGCCATCATTGATAGAGTTTTATCAAAATTTAGCAAAAATGAGGTTGCTTTTTTTTATTGTCGGGGTGGGGGCGGAGGGCTAATCTTAAATTTTACATTGGCTTTTTTCTTTTCTAGTTTGACTGGATAGCTCTTAAAGATCTTACTTTTTTTTTTTTTTTAAATGCAGGAATGGCCGTTATTTTTGTATCCATTTCCTGTTTATGTATTCTTTATGGTGTTAAGTGAGGGATGTTCTAATGATGCTTTTCTCTTGTACTTTATTGTGTATTTTGTCAATATCATTCTACCTTTTTTGCCATGGATATAGAGACTATTCATATGCTTGAAAAAGGGGATCTTAGCAGTAACTGATTGACATGTTTAACCTAGTAGTAACTACTCCACTTAGCACAGCACTGAGCCCATTCGTCATATCTTGCATTGACTGAGATTTTAACTTATCTACTAATAATTATTACATGGCTGAATTCATTCTTATGTTTCTGTGGTACATACCATTCACTTTAACTTGGGGGGGGGAACTTGTGGTTTAAGACATGTGAAACACACTGCACATGCTGTCAAATCCTCATTCTGAATTCTCCTGCTGTCATGATACTACATATTTACATAATTAGCAGTTGGTCTTATCATATCTTTTTTGTGTGCCATTTATGGATGCAATATTTGAATCCTAATATAGAAATACCATTCATGCTTTAAATCAAAACTTTGAAAGCATTTTATTGACATTCAGAATAAGCTTTCATTAAAAAAAAGAACACAGTTATTGCAATTTTAGTGATATCTAAATCAACAGTATTACCTTAGGTGCACAATATTTCAGTACGTCATCTAGCAAAACATATCAGAATAATCAGTGTGCTGCACTTTTTCAGAAATTCTTCATACTAACTATCAAATCTCTTGATAATTTTGAACCTATATATCCTACAACTGATAGATATTTCTGCCAACTCATGGGAGGGTATATAAATGCTGTATTGCATGTGACTGTAGTTGTCTTACCATTTGAATTATGAAACTACAGCTGCTGAATTTTGAACTGTTTTTCAAATAATTTTCATCAAATTATGTTCAAAATATGAACCTCAGATTTCATGAGTCTGAGAATTATATTAAATTTATAACTTCTTCTCTGATTCTTATAGACCTTAGTATGTGTGTATACTATATATTATATTCAGTGTGATGTCAAATTACTTTTTTTTTTTTTTTTTTTGTATTTTGCAGAAGGAGATATTCGTAGAGCTGCTTCAATGACAGATCTTTCTATGAGTGCTCAAAATAGATGGCGCTTATTTTCTACACCTAGTAAATCAAAAGAGAGTAAGTGAGCCCTTTATTCATAATGTATTATATGTGCAAATTGAATTAATGTTAATTAACTGTTTCAGTTAAATTTAAGATTGCATAAAGTACCTTTATATTTTCAGAAACAGAACTTGCTGCACCTTTATGGAACCAAAGCAAAATATATCATGTTGACATATCTCCACCAGCATCTCCAAATCAAAATAAAACTTTAGCCTCACCTCATCTAAATCAGAGCATTCGAAAAACGGAGACAACTCATTCAGAAACGCTATCTAGGAGCAATAGTGCTAGTTCTTTATATGCTAAAAATCAGAACTTATCTACCTCCTTGCATAAAAATACTCTGGATAGATCATCTCCTCAACCTGTGGGATCTGATTCTGCATTTTCATTGCTTTCTAAGAATTCAATTAATTCATCTGGACGTCATAATCTTCCCTCATTGCCAAGCAGACATCATATTCCTAGCATGGTGACCACAGCTCCTCTAGCAACAGATTCTTCTTCCGATTCTTCCCCTACAGAATCAACCTGTGTAAAAAATGGAAGACCACTTGTTTCACCCAGACCATTTAATTTCAGAAACAGACATTTTAGTTTAAGTGAAAGTGTAAATTCGCCAAATACTAAGGTTGTGACTGTAGAAAATTCAAATGAAGGACTACAGAAGTTAAAATTGAAATCACGTAGTGAATGGGATTTAAAAAATAGTTCCATGGAGGAAAATTATAAGACCAGTGACTCTTGGCAGAGCAGCCGTTATTTATCGTACTCTCCTCGTAAAAATTATATTCGCCCACTGAAGTTAAATCCTACTGGTGCATCCACCACAGGCTTTCCATTATCTAATTCACATAGTTCTGAAAATAGAAAGAGTGTCAATCCTCCTGAACAAATTCCATTCCTGGCCTGGGATCCTGAATCTGTACCATGTGAGTACTATTTTTAATTATTCTAAAATATAAATTTAAGTATTCCTCCTCCCTCCCTTTTTGTGTTTGTGTGTAGATGGAATGGTACAAGGCATTAATATAAGCCTGAAACAAAATGTTTTATAGTGTAGCATACTGTTATGCTGTGTTAGAAGAGGCGGAGGTTCTCAGAACCATATCAAAAGTAGAATTAATGAAGCATAAGTCTCAAACAAAAAAGTAAAGTGGCTGAAAATTGAAGTACAGTAGTACACTTAATGTGATCATGTTTGTACATGGCTATTTATAACATTAAATAATGAGGGGAAATATCTTTTAGAACAACAACGGAATTTAACTAACTTAATATAATCACAACAAAAACATATAAATGTTTTTACGGAACTTTTCTGTTTATAAACTTATTAATAAAATTTCTAAAAACTTTTTAATCAATGCTTATATACCTTTAGTCTTTATACTTGGGAGGACGCTTCTCATTCACTGGAAGAGAATATGCAAACATAAAATTAGACAAAAAGGCAACCTTGGTTTGGCATAGATGTTGTCAGTGAAACCCTTCCTCCCTTTTTTTAAGCAGCAGTGGGAAAAATAATTCTGCAGAACTTTTTTTTTTTTTCTGCTTGAAGGAGAAGTGACTGATCATTCTCAAAATTCATAGAAGTGTTCAAAATCTAAGCCAAACTCAGATTGCTTTTTGCCTAATTTTGAGTAGCTGACTAAAATTGAAAACACTCTCTATGGTGATATGATCCCTTACATTACATCCCCAACATTTTGCAGACACTTAACAATTTTTATACTCTGTTTAGAACTAAGGTGATTTTATTTCAATTAAAAAAAAAGTTTCAATAATACTCTGATAATAATAACTGGTCACAATAAGTGATGTATTTTCCATGTTTTTTTATACAAGTGGGTGGGACTTCGGAAATTTGATAACATCAGCCACAATCACATTAAGTGGCATCTACTGCATTGTAAATTAGATATTAATGTAAAAAAATATTAAAATTTGTAGGAAATGGAAATCTGAGGTGTGTCCAAGATTAAAATCTGCCAGCATGGCAGGTAGATGTTTTAAGATTTCTTTATTTTTTCTGCATACTTTTGGAAAGAATTTTGAAATGTCGACAGCTGATTGTTAAGAAAAATACAGCTTGTGACTCAAATTGTGGTGTAGGGTGGTCTCATAATTATTAGAATTTGGAATGGAATATTAATCTGGAAATGGCATTTTGTGTTGAATCACTATAAACAAAGTATCGCTTTTCAAATTGTTGCTACAAATTATTATCATTATGTAGGATTGCTAGAACGCTCCAACCCGCCTGATCACAAAGTGATCTTATGGTCCAATTATCATGCTGTATTATATTTAAAGAAATTAAGTAATGAAGAAGAATCTGTATAAATGTATGCATGTTTCTCACACATTGTGAGAAAACGAAGATACCGAGAGCCATCAAATTTTGAGTAATGTAGTACTTCTCCTTAATATGGGTACCTGGAAGCCTGAATTTTGATATTTTATTATTATTATTATTATTATTATTAATTTTCTATTTTGTATTTTTTGATTAACAAACTGAACAATTTCAAAGTAAGCAGTGGCAACACTGTATGGAAAAAAAGCATTTTTATCTCCAGAGTGCGAGATTGTCTGTCAGAAATTCTAAAGATGTGCTGTTTTTAAGTATTCCTTGATTTTGCTGTTGAATCAAATTTTATGTGGCATAAGCACCAAGAAAGGCATACTTAATAAATAAAGTAAGCACACAAAACTTTAATAATAAAAAGCTTCCCCCCCAAAAAAAGTTTTTAAAGCCGTCTTAGTAAGAAAACTGGACATTGATATGATGAACTGAGAAAAGACTAAGGGAAAGGAAAAAAAACCAGAAAAATGTATGCTAACATTTAATGCTGTATCCAGAATTCTAAACATATATTGCTATGCTGCTTTTAAAATCTTTGTAATTTTGCTGTTGAATAGTATATGATGTCAGTGCGAAGAAAATGATGCTTCATAATTAAAGCTAAAAAGACCCACGGAAAGGGAGCATTAGTAGAAGTGAGTACAACAATAGACTTGGAAGACTGTGCGCTCAAAGAGAGCATTAAAAAACTTTAACAAACCCTTTTCAGCAACCCCTTTTTTATTTAGTTCTCAAAACATTTTTATACTTAAAAATTCAGGTACAGGCTTTTAACTATCCAGCAAAACAAGAGTTGTATTATTTAACTGAAGGAAAAATATTTTATTTATTACCAATATTTTTAGAATTTAACTCAAATTTTCAAATGTTTTTAGAATTGAATATTTCAAATATTTAATTTTCAAATATTTTTAGACTTTAATTCTTTCTTGTTTAAAAATTATGTCAATATTCCTTTTTTATGAAAATATGGCATTTAATTATGTTAAAATAAGAATTTTTAGAACTAATATAGTTACATGAGACTGAGCAGGTTTGAGCATAAGAGATCAAATTTAAAATGTTCAGCATAGTCAATTGAAATTAACATTTTCAAAACACTTATTAGCTTTATTTTTTTGGTTAAGCATTTTTACATTACTTACATTTCTAGTTTTTACTGAGGTAATAAGCTTTTAATTTAAAGTTGTGCTTTAAAAATTTGAAATTAAGCACTTTTTTTAGGAAGTTATTCTTTGTGATATTAATGCAAAACAGTCCCTCCCCTCCTTATCAGTAAGAATTTAATAGAGAATATTAGATGCTTCCATGCATATGATAAAAACAAGCATTTCCCATGCATAATATTATGTACAGAAAAAAGTTTTTATGTAGAATAATTTAAGATGCATCACATTTCAATGATTCATTTTTTAACCAGAAAGATTTGTGTGTTAAAAAATGAAGTTCTTAAACTAGGCCTAATACAGAAACCTAAGAGAACTTTTAGCTCCATAGATTTTTTTTTTTCTTTGACTTTTCATAAACCTTTTTTTTAATTACTGAAAGGCATTTTAATGCTTAATGTATAAATGTGCTAGTAGAAAAGTAATTACATAAACAATAAATTACAAATAGTACATTAATCACATAAACAATAAAATTCCTTTGCAATTTTTAACCAGACCAAAATATGAACATGGCACTGTTGATTCAATCTGTAGCAAAGTGCATTGTGCTGCAGTTTAATGAGTTTTCGTAATACAGTCAAAAGTCATTAATTCGGACACCCGTAAACCGGAATGATCTATAATCCGGACCTCAAAGCTACAAACTTTCTGCGCATGCGTCGCGTTCACGCATACGCACAGGCATTTACGAGTGTGCGTAAGACCTTTATGGCTGCGAATATGTTTGTGCGCATGCACGGTTAATGTGTAATTTAAGCTAAGCTAAAATTATCTCATTTAGTTAAGGTTGCAGATTGCGTGGTTCCTTAATCTTCGAATTGGATCCGGTTTATTATTTTTTGCAGACTGTTAGAGCAATTTCATAAAAGTAAGCTTGAACTTTCGATTATGTCAAATAGAATTTCCGATATATATTTACTAATATGTAATTTGTATCTAGAAGCGAAAGTAAGTTTCGAAATCCAAAATCAGTTTATCAATTTCACACTGCGGATTGGAAGTTGATCTGTCAGCAGTATCCTTATCTTCAGGGCAGATGTTTTTATTTTATTTGGCTTATAATTCCTTACTAAGTGTAGTATTTCATCTGATGTACTCCGCTGCGGATTGGAAGTTGATCTGTCAGCTCCTTATCTTCAGGGCAGATGTTTTTATTTTATTTGGCTTATAATTCCTTACTAAGTGTAGTATTTCATCTGATGTACTCCGTGTGATATGATTTAAATCAAGTTCCTTGTCATTATAATTTGCTTCTGATAGTGAAGAAAGTGACCCAGAGGTTATTGAAAACGAAAACATTTCGATTGACAAATTAGTCGGTATTCTCAACACAGCAATTATAGGACTTGAACAGTGGAACTTTGTAACTAAACAAGAAATTATGTCTGTTTAATAGAATTAAAGAGAAAGTACTATCACATGAAACGAAGCAACTTACATTGAAAGAAATGTTTAATAAAGTAAACAAATAAATATTAAGCTTTTTCTTTTTGTAAATTTTGATACCCTTTAGATCATAATTGTTCTTTATTTTATAAATTACGATTTCATATTTTAATTTTGTAATTTCTGCATGCCATCTTACCAGATTTAAACTGATGATCTATAATCCAGAAAAATCGATAATCCGGAATCGTCGAAGTCCCGACGATTCCGGTTTAACGACTTTTGACTGTACTACTTAGCTGCACTTGGGAAAAAAAAAAAAAAAATCCAATAGTGAACATAAACATGAGTTCTTGTTGAGCCATTAATAAATTAACTATAATTGATTTAAAAAATAAAGAAAAGTTTCAAATTTTATATTATGCCCAAAGAGGTGTCCCCCCTTTTTCCCATTTACACACACATACACACTTTGAGAGAATTTGGGCTAAAAATATTTAAAAACTGCATATCTTTAGAATTTCTGATAGACGGTTTCGCGTCCTGGAGATGAAAATGTTTTATTCTGTACAGTGTTGCTACTGCTCTCTTTGAAATAGTTGAATTTTTTAATCTAAAATTTTACAAAATTAGAAGTCGGTAATAAAACAAATTCAAAATTCGGACTTATTACCCATATTCGGGTTACTTCAGGAACTGCCCATATTCAGGAATACTATGTTGTTCAAAATTTAATGGCTGTAGGTACCGTTGCTTTTTCACAATACGAGAAACCTATGTACATTCATGCAGAATTTTCATTATTTATTTTCTTTAAATATGCTAATACAGGATAATAATATTTGGCGAAAACAATTTAGAAAGGGATTTGATGCAAAATGTGATATTGAGATTAATAGCCTTTCTTGGCTAACACCCTTTGGGCTGATAATTGAATTATAACTCAATTGCAAATTCAGTTACAATATTGTAATTGCAGTCAATTCAATTACAAGGTGATTATAATTATGTAATTTATGAGTACTATTACATTATAATTACAACTACAATATAACTGTCGCTATAATTGTACTGTAAGACATTAACTAGAATTTTAGTTAATTGTAATTAAATTTGTTACACCTTGAGGGGAGTACATTATTTTTACTTATTATTTAAAATATTGTTCTTGGAAAATAAAACCTGTAGATACAATCATGCCTCAAAAATTGATGGCAAGATTGACAAGATTAATGGAAATAATCTAGAACCAGCTCTCAGTGAGTGTTATCAGTGCATGAAATATGAGTAATAATCTCTCGTGCCTTCACACACAATTAAATTTAAATCTTTAAAATTTAAGCATTATTGACTGAAGAAGGTTAGCATTTCAGTATAGTTACTTTATTAGTTAAAACTACAGTTATTATGTCTTTAATCATTATAACTCAAAATAGTATGAAAAATGTATGTTTTTATGAGTAAAATTATAATGAAACTAGTTTGGTTTAGTTTATTATGGCAAAGCTATCCCCTTAGGGAGGGAGCCTTCATGGAGGACTTTCTAAGGAAAACTGGCTCATGGGGAAAACCATAAAAACGCCCTTGCAGCCAGTCTGTTTGCCTGGAATCAAATCTAGGTCGGAACTATCAGTGTTTAGTGATTTTACCACTAGGCTGCTGGTGGGCCATGTAATAAAATAATGATTTTCTTATCATTTTCCATATACAGTACATTGATATATTTTCAGCAATTTTTAAACAAATATTTTCTGAGAATGGTAACGAATTCGTAAAAAAAATTACAGTTTAGGAGACCATAAGTTTACAGAAAGTTTGAAGACCATAAACATATAAATATTTTGCCAAACTAGGAAGGGAGATTGACCATAAGTTTACAGAAAGTTTGAAGACCTTAAACATATAAATATTTTGCCAAACTAGGAAGGGAGATTGAGAACAATCTCCCCAAGCATATAATTTGTAATCCTGGATATATCAAATTATATCTTCTGATTCTTTCTAAGTAATTTTCCTGTACCTTTTCTAAGTTCTCAACTAACTGAAATAACTGATATTTTGCAAGTAACAATTTAGAATGTTTATTAACAAAATAAAATATCATTGTAATAAATAAAATGTACTTTTATGCATAAACAAAGTACAAAACATTTTCTAAAAAGTACAGTGCATGTCTTTGTTAAAGGATAAATAATATATAAATATATGTATGTAATAGAAAAGTTTAAGATCCATATTATGCTGATATTAATTTTTAATTTCTCTAGTGACTCCCGAGGTATGTGAAAATGTTGCTGAAAACCTAACTAGAATTACATCACTAAGTATGCAAGTATTTCAAAGAGTAAGTTTTTTGAAATACTCTTTTGGCTGTTGCATTTATTTTACTTCAAATAGTGTAATTAATGACATCTTCTCGTTGTATGTAATTAATTTTTATGCATTAAGCAAAAAAATATACTAATATAAAATAGTCTTAAACTTGATTAGTAATTTTTAATAAATTCAGTTAATTTCCTGAACTTTGATCAGTTTATGATTTGATTTGTCAAAAACTCCATATGTTTTTGCAACTCTTGAAATTCGGGATTTTTTGCCTATGAATCCACAAAATCAACTAGTAATTTCCATTTGAAATTCCTGAGAGTAAAAAAGTATAAAATGAGTTGTTATTTTTTTAATACATTTCCTTATACATACAGAGTTAAAATCTAAAAGTTACATGCAAATAAGAATTTTACCATGACTATTTAGCAAATTAAATTAAATAGAATTAGCAAATATAATTTTGACCATATGTAGTATTCAGTTAATCACACTGAAAAAGTGATTAAAAGATTCTAAATTCTACACTCCAGACATTCGCGAGAAAAGATATAGATAAAATATTTTATAGATAAAAGGAAATAAAACTGTGAAATGACTATTTAAAAATACTATTAAAATCTGAAGCCGAATATTTTTAAAAATGAGTTATACAAGGTGGTTAAAATGAAAACACCCCTGAGTTCTTTATACATCGAACTACTGAGTGTAAAGACCCCAGAATTGTTGAACATACTATTCAAGACATGGGAAATTGGATTACATGAAAAAAAATTAGTTCCAGAAACACCGATAGGTGGCGCTGTACAACAGAACATATGCTGAAAAGACACAAAGTACACTTTATAACATATTTTATTCGAACGTACCAGATATTCATATCACAAAGACCTTATTGATTGCAAGGGAAGCTGCTGGATATGGTTTCCTTCTTCAAGATGAACAATATGCAGTCTGTGGACAGTTTGTTCAACTGCAGGTCGTAATTGGTCGATTGGGATGCTTTTTTAAGTAACTCCACAGCCAAAAATCACTTGGATTAACATCTGGAGAAATGAGATGGCCAGAAAGTTGAAATTACAGTTACAATGACAGTTTAAGTTTCTTAACTTTTTTGTGTTCTTTTTTTTCATATCAGCAATAGAAATTAAAAAGGAATATTTCCATACCTCTTTTTTTTCGAGGGGGGGTGATTATTTGTGCCTTTTCAGCATATTTTCCGTTGCACAGCATCACCTGTTGGTGTTTCTTGAACTTATTTTTTTTCCACATAATCTATTTCTCCGTGTCTTGAATAGTATGTTCAACACTTTTGGGGCCTTTACACTCAGTAGTTCGATGTATAGAGAGCTCAGAGTAGGGGGGGGTGTAATTTTAACCACTTTGAGCTTCTTGTCAATATTTTGCCATTCATGTAATTTTTAAAAACTGTTTAATGAACACAAACTTTTAACTGGGACTAATGCATGCTGTTTTTTTAACCCAAAATCATATATAATGATAAAATTGTATAATATAGAAATTGCAATTGTTTATATTTGTCTGTATACACATAAATTTTATTCCTGTTATAACATCTTTTCAATCATCAATCCTGCTATAACATCTTCATCTTGTCATGCTAAATCTGCTACAACTTTGCTGCTGTCTGTTGTTTTCTTTTTGATGATGACTTTAAATATATGTATTGCACTTTCTCATTATGAGGACATTGTTAAAAAATACTGGAGAGCCCGTGAACTAATGGTTTAAGTGCTAATGTTTGGCATTTGTAAAATAAAATAAATAATATCTTTTCAATAATATTTTGATACTCTTCAAGTTTTTACTTTCTAAATATATATAGAGAAAAAAAAATAGCTTCAGATTTTAAAATGAAATATTTTTTAAACAAAGTTCTAATTCTATTTAACATAAAGATTTGTTGTTATTAGAGGATGGCATAGGTGTTATTTTTATTTAAAATGGTTTACTTGTCTAATTCATATCTGGTCTGCATTGAAACGAATTCGGAATTTGAATTTGGAATTTTTACAATTCCTATTTTGTTATTTATCTTAAGTATGCACAAACAACATTTCTTGTTTTATTATTATTATTTATAGATTTAATTTTAATATTGTTACAAATTTTGTATTTAGTTAGATATTTTTAGTAGAATTAAAAATTGTTTTATTTTCCCATGCAGTGTAGCAGGAAATTATATTTTAAGAGAAAGCTACGCTGGAAAATTAAAAATACAGGAGCATGTGCATTTAATAAATAGATATCTCGTAATTTATATTTAAATTGAATAAATATAATTGACTACTATGTTAGCTGTAACCGTCATTCTACTCTCTTTGCTTTCGAGAAATTGCTAGACCTACCTCGCACGGCCGATTTTAAAAAAAAAAGCTATAAAATATCAGAGAACACCTCAGCTCAGTTTTAGTTAGCTTTTGCTATTTATTGTTGATGAGATTAGTTCTCTCTGTGCTGTAGATTGCATTTTATTAAACGTTTTATTAGTTTAGAGTATAATACATGAAACTGTGCTATTGTATAAATATCTTTGAGAAAATATCCAGTGTTTTGTTATATTTCTTTTGATAAGAATTAAACCTTTATATGTCTAATATTAAATTGCATAAAATAAAAAAATAACTATTCTGCTTATATATATATATATTTTGTATGATCTTAAATCCATTTAGTGTGAATACAAGTTATTACTACTTGCGCAATTGTTGCAAAGTTAGTTAATAATAATTTATTTCCTAAACAGTATTGATTAATTGATTATATTATCTCCTAAGTTTAATTAAAGTAGAATTATTTTAAAAGTGTGAATCCATACTGGTAAGTTATATTTTGAATCAAAATCTTCAATTCCTAGATTTTCCTAGTTTTTTCGCTATATTAAGAACTCGCTTTTAAAAGAAAAGATGAAAATGGAATTATTTTGTGACGCAGGTCTTAAATACTATGTAATGGCATATTGTGCTTTTAATGCTAGGTATTATTAAGCGTTCTTCAGAAATAGTTATACACTGTGAAATTTTCCCTTCCTGGTTTCAAATTAAAATTAATAAGAAAAAGGGGGAGACATATAAGTAAATAATACACAATTTTATATATACCTAGTTTGAGTTTTTTTTTTTTTTTTTTTTTTTTTTTTTAGTTTACACATTTTTAGAAACATATGAGCACTATTTCTTCTTATTAAAAAGATAATTTTAATATTATTTACATATTTTACTTTGCAAATAAATTTGAAAGTGTATATCAGATTTCATGTTTTTAAAAATTAATTGGAAGATTTTTGTGCCTTTCCATTTTCACACTTATATATAATACAGTAGGTATAAAAATTGTTGTATATTTAGTCTTGATTAGTGTTTTATAGATCAAAACTCAAATTATATCAGAAAACTATGAGCACAGTTTTAATAATAATATTGTATTTTATACTTTGTAACTATTTCCTGTCATCATTTAGTACAGAAGTATTTGTTGTGTTAAATTTTGCAAATCTGATAGTTCTCTCAACTAATTTTTTGTGCGTCCCAGTATGGAAGATGGACATCCATAGTAAATATATATGCCATGATTCATTAAGCCTGTAAGTTTGCATTAATGCTTTCATTAAATTCTTAAACTTTATCTTAGTGTAACATCAGAATGCAAAAATAATTCATGTGTGCCATTGAAAGATGCATATAACAGAAATCTCTTTCCACATATTGGTTTTACTGTAAAGTGTGTTTAAAAGTTTTAATAAAATTTTTATTTTCTTGTTGAGTATGCAGGTGCTAAATTATCTGTTTCATCTCTTAGAATTCAGTATTTAAAACTACATGAGTTTTCATTATAACATTTTTTAAATATTTTTTCTTTTAGCTCACATTAGCTACTGATCTTCCATCAGAAGAAAAATCAGCTATGACTAACACACTTGCTCAAGGTGTTTGGCAAGCACAACAAAATCTCCGCCCAGCAATCCCACCTATGAATCCGTGGTCAGTTCCCATGGAAAATTCCTATGATCCAAGTCTCAGAAAACTTCCTGGCCTTAATTTCCCTTTATCAAATGGAGACTTACATGACCCATCTGTGCAAAGACCCCACATTTCTACTCAGCCTGACGTTATTAATACGATGGCACTCCTCGAACAATATTCTGATAAACTTCTGAGTCTTGTTGAGCAGAAAATATCAAGTAGTCATGAAAAGCCAAAAAATTAAATTTTTAATTGTGTTGTATAGAGAATGTATGGGGTATGAGTGTTTTGTGTATTTAGTATACTTGCACTATGAATGTTTTTTCATTTTATATTTTAAGTTCAAACTAAAATTCATTTTAGTGGGAAAAAAACTACATACATTCCAAATATATAATATTTTTTTAAAGCCAGAAAGTAAAACTATAAATATAAGTTTATACTCAAACTTTAAATGCTGTTCTTTTTCTTCACCCCCCCCTTGAGTTCTTTTGAGTCGAAACATGTAATTTCTGTATAACTTGAATGTTTCAGATTAATTTTGCTTTTTTATATCATACGCAGTTTTAGACAGAGTTCAACAAATAAGCACGAATTGTTTAAAAAGTGACTTAAGCAACTTTTTATTAAGTATTAAATGTATTGCATTTTTAAATATTAGGAAGAGACCATACTTTTATTTTTAGAAATTATTTTAATATTTTCTTTTCCATTAGTTTTAATGAGAACTCTCCAGAATATTTAATTATTGATGAAGTTGTAAAATGTGCTAAATTTAGCAAGTATTATAATTTAAAGTACTGTAACCTGTGTGTTAAAGGAAAATATTAAAAATAAGAGAAGTTTCTCCATCCAGGGGAAAGATTCATAAGTTATTAATTATAAAAGCAGTTTTTCATCAAAATTGTAAATTTATTTTTAATTTCCATTAAAAATGTTTTATGGACCACATTTTTTTTTTTTTTTTTTTTTTGCTGCTTCAGTAGATAAGCATTTGCTTTTAAATATTCTTTTATTCATGATGTATTATGTATAAAATAACATACAATTCATGAAACATATATTTAAAAAGGAAAAAAAGAAACAGTAAATTGAATGTTTTTCCTATTTAAGAAAGTACAGTATGTGCATCATAAAAACTGCTTTTAATACTATCTTCATGCTGTATTGTATATAGGGGAAATAGATCAGGTATCATGAGGGTAAAAGGCAAAACTATTTTAATATTTGTATTTCATTTCTATTTTCCCATTCATTAGTTTTATTTTTTAATTGAAACAATAAAATAATGATTTACAGAATTTTTTTTTTAATTTCAAAAACTACTTTTAAAAACCGGGAAGGGGAGGAAAGCAGTTGGCTCTTGCAGCAAAAATGGTATTTGTAAACTTTTAAGAATGGTTGCAGTTCAGTTTTTGGGTTCTGTTCTTATAGACAATATTCAGCATTGGTTCTTCAAGTGAAGAACATTACTGTTTTATTTATTCTATTTTAGAAAATATTTTAATAATTAAGTAAAGTAAACCAGTTCAGATGGGAAAATTCAGACCTGCTTATAGTACTACATTCTACTGAAATGTTTAAATGCACTTTGCGTATTATACTCTTATACCAAATAGCTCTAGTCAAAATGTGTATTATAAATACCAGTGAAATAAAATTAGTAGTACAGTTATATTTTATTTCATAATAAAGATACATACTGTCAATACAATTTATTGAAATCCAGTATTAAGCTTTAATAGCATGCATTAGTGAAAATTAATTTTAACCATCATCTACTCTTTGAAAATTTTCGCAAATGGCATTATTCATTAATCATCTTTATGCCTCATTAATATATTTTTTTTATTCTTTCTTATGATTTTTATGTTCCTTATATTGTATGTTATGAATATGTTAAATAGCTTTTAGTGTATTTCAAAATATATGCGTAATGTGATTCTGTTTAAAGTCTCCCTCCCCTAAAACCATTTAGTGTAATTAATCAAGGGACCATTACTTTCCTTTACAGTAATTTATTATACCTGATATAATTACATCAAAAGCTATTGACCACATATCAGTTTTGCTTGGCTAAACATATGAATTGTAACATGAAGATTTCATTAAATGACTAATAAGATTTTAGTCCCTCTCTTTTATTTGCTGTTTATGATCATGAGAAAATTATAATGAACGTTTGCATTTTTTTAAATTAATGTAGTAATGCTATTGTACGCAGCAAGCAAATTATTTCTAACTGAAATTTCTATCAAGTATAGTTTATTTTTGCAAATATTACTCCAGTATTTTTTTAACATATTGCATATCAAAATGAAAATGAAAATAATGTATAATTATTAGATCTTTTATTTCAGTATTTTGTTACCAAAATAGGCAAGTTGTAAGATTATATTGCTTCTGAAGTATTATTTTGTGTGAGTGCACCATGTGTAATTCATGTAAATATTTGTGAAAAAAACTGATGTATACATAATACAAGTGTCTTCCACTGTTTGAAAGCAGTGAATAAAAATTTTTAAGATTTTAAATTATTTGCTATTATTTGTTGACAGACTGGATTTACTTATAACATACAAAACATTTGGCACTCATAAATTCTTAACATAATGTAAAGACAAATTTAGTTACATGTTTGTAGACTTCTCCAACATCTAGAATTGCTTTGGGGAAGTTTACCTGAAATATAAAATAATATAATTTCTATGGGGGGTGAAGGAGAAAGAGGGGAAAAAAAACCATTAAACAAAGCAGTTTAGGAATATTTTTTTATACTGTGAAATAACTGAATATATATATTTTTCTAATATTATTCATGAATTAAATAAATTTTTATAATTTTTGTAGCATATTGAAAAAATTAAAAGGGTGCCAAATATATATTTTTTAATTACTTGTAATTGCATACATTATGCATGCCTCCTTTAGATTCCCTGCTTTCACATTTTGCTATTGTCAACAGTATCTTATCTAGTAGAAAGCACTTTTTTGGAGGAAGGACAGAAGAGGCCATAACCAGTCACTCCTATACACTGATATGAAGTAATGAGACTACCCCTTGATACTCAAAAAATCCAATCATTTACTACTCAGTGTTTTAGATTTAGCTTAATTTGTGGATAAACAGATTAGCATCATAAATATAGATATACATTTTCCCCCTCTACAGTATTTTAGAATATTAATAATGTGAAATATTTCTTTTTTAAATGACTTATTGTTAGAATAAAATGCTTATTACTTTTCATGTGCTCAAAATAATTTTAAATTGATCGAGAGTTCACAAAAATTAAAAATTTTTTAGCATCAGAGATGCTATTAATCTCAAATGCACTTTTTGTCTAAATCACTTTTCAAATTATTGCCACCATATATTGTCACCAAATTAAATAACAATGAATCTGTATGCGTATGTATGTTCGTTCCTAAAATTATGGCACGTAGAACCACCAAATTTTGAATGCATATAATCCTCTACTCAAACATGTGCACCTGGAAGCTCAAATTTTGAATTTTTTATTTACTTATTTTATACAAATTTAATGAATTTTGACTAACAAACTTGGCAATTGTGGCAACACTTCAAAATAAACATTTTTATCTCCAGCACACGAGACTGCTGCCATTCAGAAAAATAAGATATTTATCTTTCAGTTTTAATTAACAAATTTGGCTATTAGAAAGCAATATATTGATTGCTACTGCTGGAAATAAAATACTTCTATCTTCCACGGGCCAGGATGTTGCCATTCAGTAAAATCTAATATATTTAACACTTTACTGACTGCAAGCGGTTCAAGAGCAAATGCACGTCCGACCGGCTGCTCAGCCGCAGATTCTCCCTGTTCTGAATAAACTGTCAGGACAATCTGATAAATCGTCTAAATAAAACTCTCCAGTGCCATGTTTTTCGCTCATTGTAAACAGTAATTTTTTTAAAAACGGTATGAAAATGTGGGAGTTTACGAAGCAAAGCTCTTAACTCAAGTGAGCAATGTACCTCAAATACTAATAATAAAATGCAGATGATATAGCAAATTGTAATTGTTTATTGCCATGGCTACCGGCTGATAAGCTATTTTTAGATAGCCTATTAATCGTTTTTTTCTCTGGGCTATCGGTTGATAGGAAAGCCGATTAATATGCTATCGGTCAGCAGGTGTTGGGGAAAAAGAGCCGATTAATAGGCTATCGTTCAGTAAACGTTGTTGAAAGAAAGGCCGATTAATAGGTTATCAGTCGGTAGGCGTTTGCGATAAAACGTCAATTAATAGGCTGTCAGTCGGTATGCGTTGGCGATAAAAAGCCGATTGGTCGGTAAAGTGTTAATATGGAAAGTTCTAGAATAACAAACTAAGCGATTTAAAAGCAATAAACAGAGTTCTTAAGAATATTTTTTATACTTTTTAATTTGATTTAAATAAATGTATTAACTCATGAGATATCTAATTAGAAAATTTAAATATTTTTATGAAATTGCACTACCTGGACTTAATGAAATCATCATATATTTTTCTTTTCTATGACAAGTACTTAAGGCCAAGTACTGTAGCCATGCAAGTGGCTAGTTTTTAAAGAAATGATATAGGGAATATATAAAAGAAAAGTCTGGCAACACTTAACTCTATCCAGAATTCTAAAAATATGTCATTTTAAAATGTTTTGTGATTTTGCTGTTGAATTTTATATGATGTAAGTACAAAAATGTAATATTCAAAAGTTAACAGTAAAAAGACAAGAAAAGTTTTGCAAGCATTCTTACTAAGAAAACTGAATTTTGATATAATAAACTGAGAAAAAAAAGATTCATATTTTCTTTAGCCCAAACAGGCTATTAGTCTGAATACAGATTTTGCATTGTTCCATTTTTCATTTGAGTCTGTTGCCATTCGAAAAAATGTAAAATATTATTCTATTATTAACTAACAAACTAATTTTTCTACTTTTTAATGTGACTTTATAAATAAAATGCATTTAATTTATGATTTATCTAATTAAAAATATTCAATATTTTTAGAAAATTATTTTATGTATTTTTCAGTTTTTAAATATACAGAAGATATGTAATGTTTCCATGTTAGTTCTAAATGCATGTTAATTTAATATCCTATAAAATATTTTGCTATTCAACCTGGGCCATCACTATTGATAATCTCTACTCATAAACCATATAACTTTAAAACAGTCCTTTCAGGTAATAGTTAAATATTAACCATTTCAGATTTTTTTTAAATTTCTAATTTTTCTTTTGATCAAAGAAGTTATGTGACTATTAGTCCTGATTTTATACTGTATGATTAATTTTGAGTCACATCGGAGCAGATTATATCTTGGTGAGCGAACTTTTATTTTGGATTCTAATTCTATTCTTTGAATATGGAATAATGATTTATTACATCAAAAACTGTGATATTATCTATTTCTATAACTTCTCCTTGGCAGGCATAAATTAAGAACTTGCTTGCTTTGAATCTTGCATTATTTTCAGAAACTAAAACTGTCCGATGATGTTTGTAAGACATTGTATGTAATTACATAATCATTAGAAACAAAAATTAGACTTTAATATATACATACATGATTTATGGCATCAGGAAAATTCTGTGTTTCAAGGCATACTGCTCCATGTTTCTTGTAACACTTTTTATGTTTACCAATTAATGAAGCATCTTCAGGCAAATAATTAGCTGTATAAATTTGAACACCAGGCTGGGTACTAAAAACTTCCATTAAACGCCCACTTGTAACATGAGAAATACTAGGGAAGGAAATGTTAGCATAAAATTGCATGCACGATAGCATAAAATTGCATAACAACAGAAAGTTCTAGCTAAATGCAAACAAATGAAATATAAATGATTATCCATAAAAATTTAACTATTCACACTTTTCTTTTTTTCCAATAATACCTGTAAGGGATTTAAATCTACAGATGTAGATATACAATGGTGGCCAAAATTGTGGACACTTTTTGTAAATTTTTATGTTTTTGAACTTTGTATTCTTGTAGAAAATGTTACGTTTCGCAAAATGCAAACTTGTACATATCATTTTAAAGAGAATTTACTACTGAATTCAATACAAACACAAAATTCAATTATTTGCAATAAAAAAAGGTTATTATGTACTTTAATATAAATAAAAAACACAGTTATGAAGTGGTTTGTAATGTCTAGCTTTCTTGGCCAATCACTGTTCTTGTTCTGAGAACCAATCAAATGTTAGTAACTGCCAGTAGAAGTTGACATCATGTTTACACTTGAAACAATTCATTATTTTGCTTTGTTCTGTAGAAGGAGGGCCTGTTTCTTATACACTGCAATTACAAGTAGGAATTTTTGTAAAAATTTTTAATATTTAGTCAAGAAGCAATGACATCCAATAAAAGAGTAGATTGGACACTTAGAAAGAGATGTAATATTATTGTGTTATGAGAAAGTGGTCTTTCCTATGCTGAAATTGCAAGACAGTGGGTGGTTCAGTGACTACATCTGGAGTCCGAAAGTTTTGTTTACGATATCAGGAGACAAATTCAATAAAAAACAAAGAAGGCCGAAAAAGGTGCACCACATCTATTGATGACAGAAGAATAAAAAGACTATGTTTCCAAGATAGAAAAATGTCATCAGCGGCCATCAGAAGTGATCTGAATGATGCTGGTGTTTCTGTCAGTTCAAGAACTATCAGAAGATTAACACATGTTGGACTGAGATGTAAAATTCCACGAAAAAAGCCTTATCTTAATTTTCAGCAACGAAAAAAAGACTACAGTGGGCAAAGGAACACATTAATTGGACAGATGATCAGTGGTCACAAGTTATATGGAGTGATGAAACTAAGATATCGTTATTCGGTAGTGATAGGCGAAAATATGTAAGACATAGAATAAGAGAAGAGCTACATCCTGACTGCATTCAAGCAACTGTGAAGAACCCAGTTAGTGTTATGATTTGGTTATGCATGTCAGCAGATGGTATTGGTAGCCTTCATATCATCAATGGGACACTGAATGCCAGAAAATACATTGGCACTATTCTAGAACTAAAACTTCTACCTTCCATCAGAGATCTCTTTCCCAACAATGCTTTGTTTATTTTTCAGCAGGATTCTGCTCCTTGCCACACGGCCAAAATATCGAAAGAGTGGTTTCGTACAAAGAGCATTAAATTGTTGTCATGGCGAGGAAACAGTCTTGACCTCAATCCTATCAAAAATTTGTGGCACCGTTTGAAAACTCTTGTCCGAATGAGGCGCCCATGAAATAAAAGGGAACTAATTGAGGCTATAATTGTTTCCTGGCATCACGTAATAATAAAAGAAGAGCTTAAAACTCTTGTCAGCTCAATGAAACATCGATGTGAAGCTGTAATCAAAAATAAAGGATACCCTACTAAGTACTGATAACTCATTGCAATCATCACTATCTAATGTATATCGATAACTATCGTTTAACTTTTTTTGTATTGCAAATAATTAACTCATTGCAATCATCACTATCTAATGTATATCGATAACTATTATTGTTTAACTTTTTTTGTATTGCAAGTAATTGAATTTTGTGTTTTGTAGTGAATTCAGTAATAAATTCTCTTTAAAATGATATATACAAGTTTGCATTTTGTGAAACGTAATGTTTTCTATAAGCATACAAAGTTCAAAAACATAAAAATTTCCAAAAGTGTCCACAAGTTTAGCCATCACTGTAAAAATTTAACTAATATTCCTGTACCTATATGTAAGGCAAACTCATTTAAACTTAATTTTCTCATTAGGTTATACCTCTTTACTTTGTTATTTCAACATTTAATACATCTAAATCTAATGTATTAAATAAATTTTAAATATTAAATATTTTTAAAGACTTTTAAAATCATGAAATTTTAAATATGTCATGTTTTTTAATACACTCAGGATATTTGATTTGAATTTATATTTCTATTTAATTTCCTTACGGCAGGGATTCCCAATCGTATGCCCGCAGGCACCATGGCGTCTGCTGTTCATTAACTTTTGCCTGCCACTGTGCAATCACTGTAAAAGTGTTTTAGTTTTCAGGAAAATTCTATGTGAAAGTTTTCTTGTTTTTAATGAAATAGAAATGTGTCTAACACAGATACCAGCACAAAGGGATCTTTTTTTATGTGCATGTATTATTAACTCTATCCAACTATAAATTTACCTTGAGAAAGTAAATGGTGCCCACCATCAAATAGATGTTCTAGATGTACTCTTAGGGACTGGAAACCCTTGTCATAGAATATAAACATTAAAAAGTATGGTTACTATCTAAATGTAATCTACAAAATTAGATATCAATGTCCAATAAGTTTTTTTTTTTTTTTTTTTTTTTTTTTTTTTTTCAATTTCCAACAAAGAATTTTGAGCTTACTGTCTGTTTTATATATATGCATTATAAATGCAGCTTTCTCTTTTTTTTTTTCCCTTGTATTTTTCAGATCCTGAGTGGTCTCAGACTGGTGGCCCATGAATACATTTCAGTTATGTATTTGTTGCAAAGATATCAAAATTTGAATTATTTGGAGTCTGAGTTCACATTGTTTCATTAAAAACTAATGCACCATTAAATCTACAAACTGAGCTAATTAATTTGCAGTGTGATACAAATTTTATTCAAAGATCTGAAGATACAGATTTGATTAACTTTTATTCGTACTTATCAAAAAATAAGTATGCTTAGTTATGAATTTTCACACTAAGAAAATTTGTTTTTTTGAGGAATATATATATAAACACACACCCCCAGTTTAAACTTAATGAGAAAATATCCAGTTGATGAGCATCTACAATTCATGCTAAGAAAATTTCTAGAAAGTTTTCTCAACTACATGGACAAACAAATTTTGAATTTATATACAAAATTTATAATTATTTATATACAAACTTATGTTTTAATTTATGTGCCAAAAATAATAAACAAGAGAAAGAAACTATGTCGTCATTATTTATTCTCAAATTTTGTCCACTACTCTCTCTCAAAACTTAGAAAGTTTTCATAATTTGTTTATTTTAAAGTAAAGTAAGTTATTTAATGATTAATTAAACATGTTAGAATTATTTTAAAGGAATGTCAGTCTGAAAACTGAATATTTATCTGTCAATATATTTGAATTACAAATTGTAACCAACAAAAATGTCTTGCAGTTACCAAACTTCAGATTTTAGACAGAAAATGAATAAAAATCTGATTTTTTTTCCTTTGTGTTTTTATTACTGTACTATGCCTATTACTGTAATCTCTAATCTGGACGTCCATTATCCGGAATGATCTATAATCCGGACCTCAAAGCCACAAACTTACACATGCGCATAATGCATTTACGCATTCGTGTAAAGCTTTTACGCATGTACATAAAGCCAGTAAAGCGTTTACACATGCGCGCTTCCGATAGTGAAGAAAGTAACAGAGAATGTTATTGAAAACAAAAAAATTTCGACTGACAAGTTAGTCGGTATTCTCGACACAGCAATTACAGGACTTGAACGGTGGAACTTTGTAACTGAACAAGAAATTATGTCTGTTTGTAGAATTAAAGAGAAAGTATTAGCACAAAAAACAAAGCAGCTTAAACAACTTGCATTGAAAGAAATGTTTAATAAAGTAAACAAATAAATATTAAGCTTTTTTTTTTTTTGTAAATTTTGATACCCTTTAGATCATAATTATTCTTTAATTCATAAATTACGGTTTCATATTTTTAATTGTAAAATTTCTGCATGCCATCTTACCAGATTTAAATTGATTATCTATAATCCGGAAAAACTCCTAATCTGGAATTGCCGAAGTCCCGACGAGTCCGGATTACAGACTTTGTACTGTATTAATGTATGTTTTGATAAATATGTAAGTGAGATTTAAAATTTAATTAAAATAATTTTTATTTTGTTGATTAAAAATTTTTCATTTTGTTAAAAAAAATTTCTGGGATGTCAGCTGTTTTCAGATCATGTGTTCGACCCATATGCAATTTGAGCTTGTGACATATGATCTAATATATTAAAATGTCAGCCATTTTCAGATAACTTTAAAAACATTTAAAATTTCAGCATTTAGTCGCATAGGACTGCTGAAATGTAAAGAGAAACAGATTATTGATCCTGAATATATTTTTAGTGTGTATAATATTATATGCTTTTGATTATGAAAAGAAATGTTACTTTGTATGTAGAAAATAGCTTTTTTGACCAAATACAAAAAATTTAAAACTCAATCACTGATACTTTACATTACAGAAATTTAAAAGAAACATGAGACTAAGTTAAAAGATCATTAAAAAAATATCCTTCCAATCCATTTTTTTATTGTTTCATTTTCAACTAAGTGGATTTATGGACTTTTTAAATGTTTCACTTCACTCAATGATTTTGCTTACACTTTTAAAATTTATTTCTTTATATACAAGTAAATAATATTTTACATAACTTTATGCAAGCACTGAATGATATTTGTGCATTTAAAGTTAGTAAATAAATGATGTTTTTGCAAAAATGTATTGTTACGAATTTTGCATATATGTAAATAATTTTAGTGAAACTGTATGTAAACTAAAGTACCTCTTGCATAACATAAAATCACAAGCCCTCAAGAGGATTAATTCTCTCTGGAAAAGCAAGGTTATGTGGGTATGTCCATTTAATACTGAATTAAATGGCTAGCCACCAAGCTGGCAATAATTTTGGCGATTCATATTTGCTGCCAAGTTTGGCAAGAAACTGCGTTATTCGACGATATTTTGTCCTATCCCTAACTGTGTAACTGTGTATGCTTTCCAGCAGTTTTGAGAAACTGAAGGTTACTAGAGATATCTCTGTGTTCGATGGGAAAACTATATATATAAGACTGAAGACAGCATTAGTTTCATTTGGAGTTTAACTCAGAGTACTGTGGGATTACTGTGTCAGTAATGCATTTTAGGATTTTTATAGTCTTTGTTTAATGTTCTTAGTAGTTTAAAGGGATAACTACTGATCATGCTCTGCAATATGACGAGCAGTATGACTACTTTTGTTTAAAGTTCCAGAACTGTAATTTTTTTTGGGGGGGAAAGGGGAATAAATTTCATCAAGCTGTCACTCAATTTTGTGTGCATGCATTCTGTTACAAACTTGTACATATGTAAGAATATCATAATATGGCTATTTTAACATCAAGATTCCAGTATTTTATTGTGAAATCATGGAAATTCCAACATATATATGCATTAAGCATGATAAATAAGTAAAAGATATATATATATATTCTTTTATTTAATATTATAATTTGAATAAAATGTTTAATACCTTGCAACTTTTCTCATACTGTTTACATTTCCATTAATGCAAAAGTTATGATCTAAACCATTTTCTAATAAATTTAGAATTGAACCAATTCTCCTTGGTTTTCTTAGATCAAAAGCTGTTGAAGCCACAGAAACAATATCACCTGAAATAATTTATTGGAAAATTAAAAACAATCATGACATTAAAGATAAATATATTTTGACACCACTGACACCAATTTTTAAAAACTGGATCACCTTTTCTAACCTGTTGGAATTGATGTCTCATCCACTGGAGTATAGTAGTCTGCATTAACTTCAATCACATGATCATGGATTGTTCCACTTCCCTTCAACACAAAAAAATACTAATTTAACAAAAATAAAAATACATCACATTTTTTATTTAAATTCTTAATTCATATGAAAAATCTGCTGGTCTTTCTATAAGAAGCTGATCTGTTGGAATTGCTTTGTTATGGTGTAATTTTTTTTTTTTTTTTTTTTTTTTTTTTATGTGCTGACCAGTTTAAATTGTGTGTTAAGGTATTTTTATTTTAAATGAAAATTGTTTGAATTAGTGTAGCAAGAATTCTTTTGGTAGTGATCAGTCATTCAGTTCTTATTCTTAGCATTCTCACAGCAGAGGATAGGACAGTCGAACAACGCGGTATGTTTTTTAGAACATCTGGAGAGTAAATGGAGGAAGGAATTACAATGATCAGAAACAGCTGTGTACTGGGACGGGGTAAAAGAACATACCCGAAGATTTTTTTCGTTTCTTTTCATGCTTAATTTCTTTTCATCCTAAAAGAGAAAAAAAATGATTCCATCTAAACCAAATCCTTTGAAAAGAATGCTTAAATTTTTTTTCATCATAAAAGAGAAAAAAATTATTCCATCTAAACAAAATTCTGAGAAAAGAATAGAAATGTCTAAGCTGTCCCTGAAAATGTGCCACTAGATCAGTGTTTGCAATAAATTCTATAAAAAAAAGGAAGGAGTTCTTTGAGTTCTATATATGAGTTCCTTGAATGTTTATAGTCGACAGGTTCATCCTTCTCTTCACTTTTCCTGCCTCTAGGAAGCATTCTTTTCTTTCGGAACGTCATGCATAATCTGCCTAAACTGGTCTTCTGAAAGTGCATATCTCAGCGTATCGTCCTTTTGCGGAGATGAATCGCTCAGGAGCGATAATCTTGGCTTTTGTAAATGAACAGTCAGGAAATCTGGGTTTATATGTTTTCTTTTACTCAGATTATTAAGTTTATAATTTCATAACTTTAAATTAGCTTAAATCTTTGAAAAAAATTCCAAACGTCAATTTTAAGCAGAAAGGTGTACATTAAATAAAAGTGAAGAAGTCGAAAGTCATCTATCTAAACTGGAAACGGAAATACAAGTACAGAACTCAAGAATTACTATTCTTCAGAAATTACCCAAACTGATATAAAAACGACACTGCAATTTGAAATATGACATATAAAATCACTTCAATCGTAAGCTGATGAAAAAAAAACTAATATTCAGGGAAAATTTTAAATGCCAGCAACCCACATATGTGTTTTCCAAGCTCTTCATTTGGTAATGGCCCAAGGTCCGTACAGTGAAACCATTACCAAGGTCCTTTCACTGTACTAACCTTGGTAATTACCGACCAGCCGCCGAGCTGTAAAGTCGTAGTTCACTCGTAGCTTAACACTCGTAGTTCCTTTCGAATCTCGCGAACGGGCTGGCTGCATGGGCGTTTTCGTGGTTTTTCCTATGTGTAATGTGTATACGAGTCAGTCCTCCACAAAGGCATCCCACCCCCTTGGCAGATAGTCCTAGTGTGCTTTGCCGGAATTAAATAAACCAAACCATTTGGTAATGAAAAAGTGCAGAGGAAATTTTGATATAATTTATTGTTAGATTAGCCATGCCTTACTTATCCCAAAACTCAAGATGGAATTTACTGTAAATATTGTGTAGTTTTTGCGTAGGAATGAGCGGGCAAATCCAACTGTCAACCATTAGGACAATCTGTTAATCAGCCCTTTCGGTCCTGGCGCAAATTGACTGAAAAACTGCAAGAACATCAAGAGGGGGGAAAAAAAAAAAAAAAATGCACATTCTTTGTTGACTGCTTACCAGTTTAAGGAACATTATACCAAGCCGTAATATATATTACTGATACTGCCATGATTCGAAAGGGAAAAGAAAACAGAAAAAAAACTTAGTCCTTTTAATTAAAGCAGCAAATTTTTGTGGCAGAAATGGACTTCTTTTAAGAGATCATCATGATTACGGCCAAAATAACAGAACAGAAAAAAGAAAGGAACATAACCATTATGATGAGAACTTCCGTCAAGTGCATAAATTCGAAATTGATGCAGGAGATAAACTGCCGAAACAGCATTTTCTGCTAGTAATGTGTTGTGTATATCGTCTATACAAAAGGAAACTATACATAACTGCAAAGAAATAATTCTTAAAAAAATATTGAAGAAGTAAATCTAAGCAAATGTTTTTCTATAACAGCGGATCTTTGGTAGAACAAGTCTTGTTATGCATAAAATTTGTAGAAAGTGAGAACAACATATCGTTACTAGTTGAAAATATTTTACAGTTGGTACTAGTAATTTCAATACACGCCGAAGATCTAACAAAGGATTATAAAGATGATGCTACCATGTCTGGAACATTTTCTGTGTACAAGCCAAAACAAGATAAAAATTCCTGTTAGCACTATATGTACATTGCGCTTATCATTCTCTAAATTTCGCTACTTCATACAAATGCTAAATTAAAGATATTTGTAATTGCGTCTGAGTCGTTGAAAAACATTATTCGTTCAAGAATACTCTTAAAAGAAATAGTGTTTTGCAGTATAGTGTATTACAACTGTGCCTTTCTTCCAAGAAAGAAGGATTGAAGAAATGATCTCCTATGCTTTTGATAGAACGGCATTGCTGCATCCTTTGATTCATGCTCTTTAATTAATTTGAAATTGGCATGATAAATGTTTTCTGTTGCGGCCTACATTCATTTAAATTCATTGAGAAGTTCCAATTTTGTCATTACTTTTGATAGAAAATGTATTTTCTCTTAAGTTGCCCTTATCCAGGGTTTTGTAATCTAATACAGTGCTGCAGTTCAGTTGTACGATGATACTGTAAAAGAATATGAAATTATTCACAAAGCGACGGTTTTCAATTCTAATTATTTTTTAATCAGAACTTGTTTTAAAACAAACCATAGAATCAGTTTTTGATGCTGTAATTTTACATCTTAAAGAAAGATTCACAAAACACAAAGCAATTAATGAGTTCATTAAATATATTAATGATACCAGAGAATGACCTTATATGCAGATGAAAATAAATTTAAAATACTCAAAGAAACATATTCTTCAGAGTTTTAAGATTGTAGCACAGGTAGGCCTCCTACAACGCAGTAGATACACTCCTTGAAAATATCGCATTATAGGAAACACCAGCTTAATACAAGAACTGGGATTTCGCTCTAAGAAGAGAAAAAGTGCCTTTTATGGTGTAACATTTTCGTCATTTTTAAAATTTATGTGCATAAAAACATTTCATAAAAAACTCAAATAAAATTCAACATGTAAAAACTAAAAAGATTATGATTTCAAGTAAAAAAAAAAAAAACATAATCGTATACTCACAAATTTATTCTTCATCATCACTTATTATATAGCTAAGAGAAAAAAAAATGACCACATATTCAATAATTGGTTGCGCAAACTTTGTCCTGCAAAACAGTTGTAACTCACCTTGGCATGGATGCCACAAGTTCTTGGTAGATGATTGGAGACAGGTTATACCAAATGTCTAAGCAGCTGTCACGTAAGCCGACATGTTCCGACATAGTGGTGTTTGAGCTCTGAGCTGGTGCTCCATAACATCCCAAATGGCTCTATTATGTTACGATCCAGCAAGTTAGGTGGCCAAGACATTAATTGGAATGCATCCTTATGCTTCTCGAACCACTCCAACACAATTCAAGCCTTGTGACATGGGACATTATCCTTTTCAATTTAAGATTTTAAGATTTCATTTCCATTTGGGATGACAGACGCTATGTAAGGGAACAAATTATTCGCAATTATGTTCAGATAGCCTGCAGCTTTCATGGTCTGTTTTACTACAACTAAGCGTCCCAAGGTTGCCCAAAGCATATTACCACCATCACCAGCCTGTGTATGGCTTGCTGAACTAAGAGGGGGAGCAAGTGTTTGTCTGGAAGGTGGTGTAACCTAATATGACCATTGACATGATCAAAGAGAAATCGTGATTCATCCGACCAGGGAACTGTCTTCCACTTCCCGTGGTCCAGTCTCGATGTTCCCGAGCCCACTGTAGGTGTAGCTGAGAATGATGCTTGGTCAATAGAGGCACACGAGTGGGACATCTGCTGTGCAGTCCCATATCCAAGAATGTCTGCTGAATTTGTGTGTTCCAAAACACTTGCACTTGGACCTGCCTTGTATTGGACTGTCAGCTGATCCACTGTTTGGCGCCAATATTGCTGTACCAAGCGGGATGGATAGTCTCCAACATCCTATTTATTTGATGACGCGTGGACACCCGACACCTTGGTGTCTACTATTGGATTCATCATTATTTATCCACTTTACATAAATACAAACAACAACAGATCGTAAACAGCCTACTAGTCGTGCAGTTTGGTGATACTCGTTCCGAGTCTTCGGGCCATTACAAACTGCAGTCTATCGAATTTGCACAGATCAGCAGCCTTTCCCCATCAATCGTAAAAGTAAGAACAAGAATAATTCCTTACCTTTTTCGGCCCACCAGCGGCCGAGCGGTAAAGTCGCTGAACACTAGTTCGGTCCGAGATTCTAATCCCGCAAACTGGCTGGCTGCATGGGCGTTTTCGTGGTTTTCCCCATGTGTAATGTGCATACGAGTCAGTTTCCCTCAGAAAGTCCTCCACGAAGGCATCCCTCCCCTTAAGCAGATATCCCTAGTGTGCTTTGCCATAATTAAATAAACCAAACCAAACCTTACCTTCTTCAGAAGCAGTTAAATACCATTCTCACTTAAACACGTACCCTTCACGTCATCCAGATGAGTTAATTGAAAAATGTAGGGATGCTTATAATATTTTGGCTCATCAGTGTAGTTGTATGAGAACATTTGATGCCCTTATTTCAAAATCTGAGCTCGGTACTTCCAGTAGGTTTAGGTTTTAAAAAATCTATCATTAGAAATTGTTTGCTCTTTTCAAATCTTTATAAATTTCTTGATACACAGATAAGCAATTCTGAAGATTTCTTTTAAATATGAGTTTTACTTACATGACCACCCAAATTGAAGTAAGAATGATTTGTGAGGTTAATTGGAGTAATATGTGTAGTGACAGCTTCATAATTTATTAGAATTTCATTTGCATCAGTAAGTTCAAAAGAGACAGTGCACTTAAGTTCACCAGGATAATTTTCTTCCATTGATGGGCTTGTATATGAGAACTGCACTAAATTATCTTTTACTATGCTATCCCAAATAACCTAAAAAATTCAAAGAGATAATTTAATTATTAAAAATTAGATAAGTATAAATAAATAGAAACATAAAGAATTTAGAACAAATTAACTATTTCATTTGAAACAGAATTTTTAGCAATTAATGCGAACACAATATAATATATAATGCCCAGAAAACATTAAAAATCAATTAAATTACAGATAAGCAGCATTTTTGAATTCTGAGAGCTAATGGAGTGACTCAGGGATGGGCAAACTTTTTCGGTCGCCTGCCGAAAGTCGGGGGGGGGGAGTTCGGAGGCCAGGATAAATTTTTCTAAAATTTTAAAAACAATATACAAGTATTACAATTTAAATGACATACTCTGCTGAAACCTAAGCAATGACAGAAAAAGCTAAAAGTATCATTTCTGTCTTTGAAAGACAAATTTTGAGAAGTATTTTTGGTGGCATAAAATATAACAACATCTGGAGAAGAAGAACTAACTATGAACTCTATAAATCCTTTAAAGAAATAGATATAGTAAAATATATAAGGATTCAGAGAATTAAATGAGCAGAACACCTGTGCAGAATGAATGAAAATCGAGTAACTAAAAAGATCTTCTCGACCAGACCATTCGGCACCCGAAAAAGAGAGAAACTTAAACTTAGGTGGCTCCAATGTTTGGAAACAGACTTAAGAATTTTAAAAATAACCAATTGGATGTCCATAGCCACGGATAGAAGAACTTGGAATTCGATTCTGAGGAATGCAATGGCCCATCCTGGGCTGTCTGGCCATTGAAGAAGAAGAAAATTTAAATATGTTAATGAGATGAATGAGATTGCTATTTCATTTTTAAAAGTTTCTTATATTGAGGTTCGAAGTGAGATGCACTGATTCTAAGGAACGAGGCTAAATGCTCATCTGTCACTCTACTTCTGAAATAACTCCTTCTAAGGTTCATAATTGAAAACACTTCACATATATAAGATGAAGCAAACATAGCACTGATTAATTAAGATACAGTAACACGCCGAACAAGTATTAATTTAGAAGTTAAACAACAAAAATCAGCGTTATATTTTTAAATTTGAATATATAATGCTGTTTTTTTTTTTTTTTTTTTTTTTTTTTACTTCTAAATTAATACAGAGGCTGTTCGCACATTTTTTAGACGATTTTGGTAAGCGGTAATAAAAAATCGTTTGCTGCAAAAGAAGTAATTGCAATTGTACTATGTTTTTAAAAGTCAAAATTATCGTCTGTGGCTTGAAAGTTTTGTTTTTATTCAAAATGGCGAATTTAACAAAGCAGTGGTTCGAAGGCTACATTTACGCTCTTTCCGAAGAGAAATATGCATGCTCCGTTATCCAAAAACGATGCGAGAGTCATGGTCTTGTGATATCTAAAGCGTCGATAGGTAATATCATCAACAAGAAAGGAGAAAAACGTCAAATTGGAGCCTCAAGTGGGACAAAAATTCCAAACAAGTATCCAAGGAAAAGACGGACATCTTTCGACTATTGCAAAGGTTCGTTGTTTAATGTTAAAAGAAAATCTCCCTAGTCAAAGGACAGTTGCAAAATCATTAAAATGCTCGGTGTCCACTGTAAACAAAATGATAAACATTGATTTAAATCTTAAGAAAGCGAAAAAACGCAATTTGCATCGTCTTCTTCCAAAGCATATCGCTCAACGCAGAACACGCTGCAGAATTCTATATGAGAAACACTCATGCAAAGAAAAGTGGAAAACAATTGTCACAATAGATGAAGCATGCGTGTATTTAAATGATTGTAACAAAAAAAAAAAAAAAAAAAAAAAAAAAAAAAAAAAAAAAAAAAGCCACTTATTATCATAAAAGGGGAGAAAAAAATTTAAGTACATGGTTCAAAGAATCAAAAGAAAGTTTTTCTAAGGGATTCATGATTGTTGCTGGTTTTTCTTACAATGGCAAGTTAAAAATAAAGAGACTGCAAAAAAATGTCAAGATTAACTCCAAATACTATCAGGAACATATTTTATCGCCAATTTTTCTAAATGAAATACCATCACTTTACCCACAGTGCCATCAATCTGTGAGACTTCATCAGGACAAAGCTAGCAGTCACACATCAAAATCCACTGTAAATTTCCTAAAAGAAATGGAACCAAAAACTGGTATCAAGGCACCCTTCACTGATATCTCTACTAAATCTCCCGATGTGTCACCTATGGATTTTTGTGCTTTCGGACTTTTAAAAACTGCATTATCCAAACGTTGTCCCAAAACCCTTAACAGGACTCTGGAAAGCTGTTCGGGAGGAATGGGATAGAATATCTCTTCTGCCACTTCAAAAGGCATTATTATCCTAGAAATTGTGGTGTCGAAAGATAGTTCAGAATAAGGGATGTCAAATAGAACATTTAAAACACAAGAATTTTATTTAATTTAGTTTTGTGAATACAATATACATCGTCTAAAAACTGTGTGAACAGCCTCTGTAGCACTGATTTTCTGGACATGAGATATTGAATTTAAACTTACTTTCGACAACGATTTCTAAAACTCTAACTTTGGCATATTTAGAAACAATTGCTTGAGATGAGTCTTAGATTGCAACTCAATTATTTCAAGCTGCAAAACTGCCAAAACTGCTTCACAATTTACGTTGAAAGGCATGGTAAAAATATCCAATTCTGTTTGAATTCCACCGAAATCTTGAAATCTGCGTTCTAACTGAAAATGCAGTTTTTTCGAGCCATCTTCCTAATTCTTAAGCTTCTCTTCATTTACTGAGGTACTGAATTTAACCTCGGGAAATGACACTAGTTGTTCTTAACTAGCTGCCCAGCAGATTAAGTTTTAGTTTAAAAGCTTTGAGATGGGCCCTGATATCGTCGATAAATTGATTTTCCTTGCATCTTGACATTCAAGTTGCTCACATGACAAAGAAAATCTGTGGAAAATGCAAAGCACGAAAGCCATTCTGTATCTTTTAAAATTTCGCACTCCGCAGAACACTGTTTCTTAAGGAATTACAACACAATGTCGTCTTTCAGCTGCCATACTCGCTCGAAAACACATCCTGCACTAAGCCATCTTACTTTCGTGTAATACAGTACATCCGAATATTCAGATTGCACGCACTGAAGAAAATCTCAAAATTGCCTGTGGTTAGCATACGAGATCGAATAGTATTTAGAAGCTTCCGGACTGCACCAAGCACGGGTTTCATATTCAATGCAGATTTACACAGAGCATCTTCATGTATAACACAATGTAGAAAACAACATTGTTCACGGGATAGATTTGATTAAAGAGTCCAACAAATCCAGATTTTTTTTCCTGTTATACGAGGGCTATCCAGAAAGTAGATTACGTTTTGGAATAAAAAAATAAACAAAGTATAGGAAACAAATTTTATTATATACAGATGAAAGCCACACTCAAATACTACTTTTCTACATAGTCACCATACAAATTAAGGCATTTGTCGTAGCGATGTACGAGCTTGGAAATTCCTTCGTCGAAAAATTCGGCCGCCTGCGCCTTCAACCACTTCGTTACCTCTTCTTGCCTTCCATCTTGCACAAAACTTGTGGTAACCAAGCTTTTCGCTGATGATTTCGTGCAACAAACTTCGCGCGAAAATTTGTGGAAAACTCAAAGAAAGTTCCGTTATTGTGAAATTTCGATTTTCACGGACTTTAGCATCGACTTTTTCGAGAAGTTCGGCGGTCACTATGCTGGGTCTCCCACTTCGATCTTCGTCGTGAACATTGGTTCGGCCATTTTGAAATCTTATGACCCACTGACGCACTCCACCTTCAGTGATAATGTTGTCCCCATACACTTCACGAAGCTGCCGATAGATTTCTATCGGTTTACAGTTTTTTACAGTCAGAAACCTTATTACTGAGCGCACCTCGCAGCTCGCGGGATTTTCAATTAACGCAGACATTTCAAACCGTCACAGTATCTGAACGGAGCACAGCACGAACCTCTCACTAGCACGGCTAGATGCAGACTGAGCTGCGCAACGCTCTGACCCCAAGATGGCCGCGCTAGCCCCGCCCCTAGCGGACACAGACGGAAACGTAATCTACTTCCTGGATGGCCCTCGTATATGGTGCTTCATCGATCGCAATATTGCATATATTTGTTCTAGGCACTTTCAAAGTTAAAAGCCCTTCCTGAAATTCACGAAAAGTATCACATCCCGTTGTAGTTCCCTTTAAAGAACGCATGCACGCCAGTTTCTCGGTAATTTCAAAGGATCAAAATTTAAACTGGCCCAATCTTCAACTTTAATTGTGATGTCAAATTTTTATCGATGTCTTCGACCGTTTTTCGAGATAAGCTTACATTAACAAAATTATTCTTTTCTGAACATAAAAATTACAAACTTGGAGCATGCATTGTTTAATGAACTCTCCATCACTGAGAGCTTTATTATTTTTAGCAATACTGTATGCTATAATGTAACTTACATGTGTAGCTGCTTTTTGGATACTGTTTGCTTCCTTGAAAAAAATTTGTCGGCCTGGTAATTTTTTACAAACACTTTCTACATTTTGGTTTCTTTCATATTCGGACATTGCTTCTTAATTGGAATTCTTATGCTTAGCTGTGAAATGTAAGAAAATTTTATATTCTTTGAAGACTACTACAGCTTCATTGCAGATAAGACACACTGGTTTACCTTTTACAACTGTAAAAAAAATATTTCCAGGTCCATTCATCATTAAAAGCTCGGCAATCTGAATCAGCTTTACGTTTTTTAGTAGCCATTTTGGAGTTGAAATATTTTACGAATAATCTCAGCATTAGCTATCCTATACTTTTAATAATTTCACCACTATTCTCAATGATGCTGTATATCCGCAATCAATAATATGTATTAGAACTTGCGCCAAAAGAAAAAGGCTGCTGACTGGAGCTTAAAAAAAAAAAAAAAAAAAAAAAAAAAAAAAAAAATATGCGCAGTCTGCAACATGTGAGGTCTAATTCACCAATAAAGGAATTCCCATATGTCTGCTCCCCGAAAAAGAGATAACGCTTGTTGGCGCCAATCTACGGCTATAACTAACAAAGAACTTCCGCTTTTAACACTGTACTGATTGAAAGCTGTTCTGTGTTTGCTATTTCCGCCGATTTATGTTTTGTAGAACAAAAATAGCGAAATTAAAAAGATCATCAGTCCTTTGAAAAAAAGGAAGGGAAAAAAAAAATAATATTACAAAAAAAGTAGAAAAGTAAATGTATATATAATATATAAATATATATTTCTTTTAATCTGCCTTGGACAGCCAAATTAAAATTCTATACACGGGCCGGATAGAACCTTCCGGCGGGCCGTAGTTTGCCCATCTCTGAAGTAACTAAAGCAAATTACTCTTTAAAAAAGAGAAACTCATATTACATATTCTCTCAAAATGCACTTTCTCAACTAAATGCCAGTGTAAGATGACTATAGCAGTGTTTTAAAATAAAAAAGGTGAGAAAAATAAAAAATTATGAAAATTAAACTGTATCCATTTTTGAAAATAAAAAATAAAATTGCATAATCATCCTCAGATGAATCTTTTCAAAACTATGTTATTGAAATAATTCTATGAAATCATTTATTACATGTTACCTCATATTTATTTCATACTTTAACATATAGATAACTGACTGCTGTTAAAGAAAAATAGATTGGTTTACCAATTTGAACATTTGATTTTTAGAACGCACAAAAAGTAATTGTTTTGTAAACACAATCAATGCAAAATATTTTTAAACCTGAAGCAATTCTAAAATACCTTCCACCAGTGTTTCTTAAACTGTGTTCCAACCTTAGGGTTCTGTGGAGATCATTTAAGGGTTCTGCAAAACTTACGTACTTCTTTTCAAAACATTAAAAAAATTAACGCTGAGGAATCACCTGGAATCCTGCTGTCAGTGATTCTCAGACTCATTTCTGTATTGATAACTACATATGGGAAATCCCACACATCTAGAAATACAGAGAATTCTCCAGTTTTAAAAATACAGAGAAATCCTGTATATTTGAATATAAAAAGGTGCTGAAAGTAGGAGATAATATTCATTTTTTATATGTGTCTTATAATATAAAAATTGATTGAAAGTTTTTTATTTTTATTTTTCAGTTACTGATAAACTTTATTTGGCTATTCTAGCATTAATTTGCTATTATATTTAATTCATTAATATATATTCATTAATTTGTAGGACTAATTTTAAAGGTTTAAACATAGAATTTCAGCTGTGATTGCACTTCTACACGTTTTTGCACTTCTGCAGGTGTGAAGAAGATTTTGTGTTTAAACCTTCATAACTAATTCTGCAAATTTATGAATATTATGCTAATTCTTGTTACCTAAACATTTCTAATAATCCATTTATTATCGAAGCCCAACCTTCGATCATGTCAGTAGAAAAATACAAAACTTTTATTTAAATTATACCTGATTTATCATTGCAGGAAAATTTTGAATTGATGCCAGAAGTGGAACTCTAGTGCACTTTAAAAAATTAATATCTTAACTAGTCAAAAAGTTGTGCTGGCACATTTACGATTTGCAACTATATGAAATGGGTTTCTCAGCTGTACGTGCTGACAAAAATATAAATACCACAACAGAATCAATGATGAAGATGATATAAGAATTCAACTTTAATCCATAAAGACTAATATTTAGTATATCTCTAATAATAAAAAGCAGCACTTCTCATTAAAATTTTAACTTCTGTTTTAATAGATTATTTTAAGACCTTTTAGTTTTGGAATTTCTTTTTGGAACAAATAAATTATTATTTCAAACAATTTTCATTTTTGTTACAAATAAACTGTTACATTAAAACCATAGTATTGAAACAAACCAAGTGTTCCACAATAAAAGTTGACATTAAAAGGAGTTCCACTGTTCAAAAGGATTAAAATGCTGCATTACACATATTTATTTCAATAAAATCTGAATTAGAAAATTGATACTGAAAATGGTACATGTAATTTCATGCATGTCATCTTCATGTGACTTTTATTAAATTTCAGTTGCATATATCACTATTTAAGAAGCTCTTAAAATGAGCAGATTTTTACAAAAGCAGTAAAAAAAAAAAAAAAAAAAAAAAAAAAAAAAGATTTTATAATTGGAACTTCAACCGATCCATTCACTCTTAGACATTTCTAAATTTTAAAACAAAATGTTAAATAAAGTAACATTATGACAGTATCAATAACACCTTCAAGGGTTAACTGATTTTAGATTATAAATAAGTATGTACAAAACTTGCCTTATCGAAACCTTTAATTCCACCATGCAGATGATTAGGGGCATTATTGATTGTAAGATTATATTCTTTATTTTGCAACACAAATTTGCCTTTAGCAATTCTGTTGGCAAAACGTCCTACAGTGCAACCAAAATAATGTGGATGATTAACGTAAGCTAAAATAAAAAGTAAAATTTTGAAAACTTATTGGAAATAAACAACATTAGTATAAAAACATTTTATATGATTGGAACTAAATTAGCAATATGCCAAGCCATTTTGTAAATTTGCAACATACAACTATGAAAGTTTTAATAGAAAAATTTAAATATTATAACAGATTTCATTATATAGTAACAGATACATATATAATGATACTTAGTTTCCAAAAAATGATTAAAAAAATATACATAACATAGTTCCATAAATCCAGTTAAAAGATTTTGAAAATTTTGGTCAATTTTTAACAGTTTTGTTTCTTATGAAAGTAAAAGTGGTACTCTTTTGTTATCGGGACCAGATTCAGAAAAGTACGTTAGGTATGTATGGCTGTATGTAAATGTTCATGCATGCATGTACACATGTATATAGACACATGCATACATTTCCTAATCCGGTCCTGATAATGCAGAAATTATATATAGTATCAGGAAAATATATATATAACATAATTGTTTCATAAGAATAAATTGAATTTAATTCAGGCATGCTGGATTATTGTATGTTTGCTGTCTTATGAGTTCATTGCCACCAATTTCGGAAATTTATAATTCAAAATAACCTCTTCCAAAAACTGTATCTACTTTAGTATCGAACAAAAATTCTAAGCATTTCTGTAATGATTTAGAATATCTTCTATGAATAGTGTAACTAATGATTGATTTTATTAATTTATTAATAATTTCGTGACCTCAGCTTTCTGAAATTTAAATATTTCTTAGAATTAATATTATGTTAACAATTTATTACTGTTTTAATTTGGAATTAATGTTAGTTTTAGGTTTGGAGGCAACTTCCCCTTGATAAGTCTGTCTCCTGCCTACTCAACGGTCATTCACTTATGCATTTTTAAAAAAATTGTTTGGTTTAATTTTAATTTGCTAAATTAGTGAATTTATTTTCATGGATTGATTTTGCACTTAATTTGCTTATGCTTCTGAATTTAAATGATATTGTAGATTAGTTTGAGAATTAAATCTTTTATATGTTTGCACTTTTTTAAAATTTTTAAAAAAAATTTGGCTTTTTTTCTTTTTTTAGGCTTTAAATTTGCTTTTCTACTTTATACGTGTTTGTTAAAAATTAAATTTTAATTTGTTTTAAATATATATAACATATATATTTTTTCCTGAGAGGAGATTATAGAATTTTTTCATTTATCTATAACTGCCTAATGAACATTAGCATAATGGCTGTATAGTAAAAAGTGGGAGATGATAAAATATTATCAGTAAAAAGTTACAACAGTTGCCTGAGTATTTAATTAGTCATAACTGACTTCTTTTGCCCTGGAAGTATTCTAGGCTGTTACAATTTTAAATTAAACTTTTAGTAAATTATTAACATACAATAATAGTTACAGATATAATTATACAACTATGCACACTGGCTGCTATCTGGGTAACTGGTTATAGCATAGTACTTAGCAGCTATTCACTTAGAAGAAAGATATAAATATCAGTTAGTCTTCTAACTCACATTTATATTAATCTCTCAGGAATTCACATAAACAATCAAGAATTAGTTACAGATTATGTTATGTTAATTGAATACTGAAAAATATTTATTATCAGAAATTTTGCTTTCAGTTCTAATAAATAAATCTGACATATCAATACTTCAGTGAATAACAGAAAAATTATAAGAAAAAATGCCTACTAGAAAAATACAGCTTTATTTTTATGCAAAAGTTACAGTACCTTGAGAAATTTTAAAAAATTGATTAATTTATTTTTAATTATCTGAAATTTTAAATATATTTTATTATCTGAAATTTAAAATTATCTGAAATATTAATGTTGGAAGAATTGTAAGACTTGATATTCAAGCTGTTCTTTCTGCCTGATGTCCATTGATTTTAAATTTCTTACAAACTATAAAATTCATCTTTCAGGTTGATTGTTGGAAATAAAACCTAAGATGAATATCTGAGTCTCATGGCTTTAACTACTAGACTACTGGTCAGCTCAATTCTTAGGGTAAAATTTTAAAAAATTTATTAACCACATCTGGCAATCATTATAATTCTTAAATTTTTCTCCAAACTCATTTTAAACTTCCAGTACCATGTAAGTAATTTTTTTCCCATGTAATATATGTGATATAAATATATATACTGCTCAATAAAGTAAATAATGATATGCAATTTCATCAACCTTGGTGATTTCCCTATATTTTTAAGTAACTTGCAAACATAATGAAACATTTATAAAATTCTTTTAGAATATACGGTCAAATTTATTTAACATTAAAAATTGACTATTTTTTTACAAATGCTTTTTTATCATCAAATGTAAATAAATACTAAATAGTTATATATTTTCTAAGATGAAACTATAAAAAGCTATAATACTTTTTTAATTACTTTTCCTTCAAACCTTTAGTTAAGCTTAAAGGAACACATAACCTGTTTATATTCAGTGTACTGAAAGCATTTGATTCACCTGATGAGACAGATTCACTATTTTACTCAAGCTCATCTTATATGTAATTACGTGACTATGTTTGCCTCCCTTAAAAAAAAAAAAGGGTAAAATCCTAGTATACGGTGCAGCCTTGGCGCGACTTTGAAATTATCGCCAACACCAAAAATGATCCAAAGAACGTCTATATATATATTATACACCATGTATATATACTATATACATACTATATACTATTTTAACTGTATATTTCTTGAATGACCTATTAACTACTCATCCTATATGTCCCGTTTTTACTGCTCATCATAAAGTCGCCAAAAGTAGCCAAATCCCGTGTGCACCGGATACTAGGATTAAACCAAAAAAAGAGTTAGGATACTATACATACATACTTCAGTGTTAGGATACTATACATAATAGAGAAAAGTAATTTATGTTAAATTAACGCCAATCAAGTGCAAACAAAGTACACATTTTTGAAAAAGTAACTCGATTTTTCTTTATACAGACCATATCAATAAGTTAAACATACATGAAATATCGTCAAATCCTAGTACAATATCTTCTAGATTTCCATCTTTATCAGGAACTTTAAGAGATGTGATAGTCGCTCCGTAACTTATTACTTGGAATTCAATTTTATTGTTTGTCAAAGTAAATCGCCGAACATCTCTTACATCACCATCGGTATTATTTATGTGGCCAAAAGAATCTTCACGAATTGCTATCACCATGATTATTCTTTTTCTTTATAAAATTCAGCAGCCGTGAAAAGTGATTAATGTTATGCCGTATATGGTCACATCAAGAAGCTTAGAATAACCTCCTTGGGTCACATGTATCACATATTTGTTTGTAAACAAACAAAAGAAACGATTACAATTAAAGCTATTGACAAATTATCTGAACTCTTTTTTTTTAATCTTAACAGACTGTCGTCTACATTTGTAATACAAAGTGAATTAATGAACATTATTAAAATGAGATACGTAACACAAAATTATTAAATAACCTAAAGATTATAAAATAATTTCATTTTTACCAACAGGCAAAAAGACTCAAAATGAAATATGAAAGGTGCGTGTGAATGTTTGTTGATGTTCAACTCGCTCCTTTTGGAATCCCTTATAAGTTATTATATTAAATGTGATGGATAGTTGAATTGGTACTTTGTTATTCTACCATCAGGAAATAGCAGTTGAACAGTACGCTTTTTTAATTCTTGTGTATGCGTTTTACTAAAGAGAGGTCACATCTTAATGCTTTTTTAAAATAAAAATTTTAATATTCTGATTATTATAAGCAAAAGATTTATTTTATGTATCAAGTATATTTTAAAATTCGCAATCAAAATGTACAAAAGTTTTATGAAAGGTTTCTATTTCATTGTTAAATGCCATTTTTATTGCTCGTTGTAATAAAAGTTATATAGAGCTTGAACAATATTGGTATTTTCTTTTTTAGTTCTACAGTCTTGAAATCTGTGTATCAGATAGAACGGAAATATCCCCTATAAAATGAGTGGCTGTTCAATGATATGCATCTGATCTGAAACCATTTAGAAAAATTGAATCGTGATCTGTGATCAAAGTGTAGTATATTTTAAAGTAAGTAACGTATGCTATTCTTGTGTGAGGAAATCTTTTTAATAAATTAATTAAATTTTTAATAATTTTTTTCGAAATAACTTACTTAGTGAAAGCCAGTTTCGGAATTTTTCTTTATGAATGTTTTTCTAAAAATATAACTATATATTATTGCAGTGTTATTATATGTTGCCATCAATATAATGATTTTTAAAATTTGAATTTAACTTAAGAATATGTAATTCTGCAGTCTCATTCAGTGTTTAAAACAAACTTATTGCACCAGTAAATATTTCAAAGATATTTAAACAGTGAATTTAAATTAGAAAGGAACTTATAAATTTTAATAATTTAAATATGACAATAAATTTTATGAAATTATGTAACAATAATAAGCAGTATATTGCTTTAGTTATTGCATTTTAATCATGTTTTATATTGGCCAATTATAAATAATTGAGTTCAATAACATAGCAACTTTATTTTGTGTATATAATATTAGTTATGGTGAGAGATTTTAGTTTGACACCACTAGGTAAATGTGGTCTGGTACTTGCTTGGTGTTCAAACTGACCACTAAGTAAAATTATGGTAACCCTTTGTCCTATATATTATTATAAAAAGTAGGGAATGATATTGGCTGTCAGATGTGAAATTTATATTAGTCATATTTTATGTAAAATAATATTATATTTATAAGAAAACTTTTATGACATAATGAGTGGAATAATGAATGATAAAAAATTAAAATTTAATGAGTTTTTTTTTTTTTTTTTTGAAAATTAGTTGTTTTATTTTCGAACTTGTTTCATCATATACAAAACAACAAATGAATGGGAAAAATGTGCTAGCTTGAGATAGGGTTACCAGAGTTACAGGTATCATCACTGGCATTTTTCTTTTACTTTGCAATGATTTGATTGGATAACATTCAGCCCTTTTCACCTGCTTGACAACATTTTTGCCTTCATCGCAAGATGTTGGAAAATTACAGGATTCATTTTTTCGATTCAGCTTATATATGGATTGGGTAATTTTTGAAGAAAAAATGCGCTACATGGATTGGCTTATATTTGGAAATGTATGGTTTTGTGAATTATTCAATACTGGAATCATGAAAGACAAAGAAGTGTAAATAAACAATTTTTAATGGTTAAATTTAATGATCGCTTTTCAATAACTATCATAGCTAATACTAATGCTAGATGCAGGGTTTTACTCTCAGCATTTTAGCTTTAGAGGGGATGTTGCTGCTAATTGTACCAACTATGATGTTGGAAGTGGCTCTTGTCCAACTGGCCTTGACTGAAATCAGTTAAAGACATATCAGAATATTGTGATATTTATTGCTTCACAGACCACTATTAAAGCAATTGCTTTAGTCATACTTTCAAACAATGGGTCTGTTCTAAATTCTCAGCCAGTGATAAATTTTGTAATAAATAGTGGTCGTAACTCTGCAGTGATCCCAAGTGCTTGTGGAATCACATGTAATGAGTTTGCTGACATTCTGGCCAAGGCTGGATCTTTCCTCCCTCAACCCAATCTTTCTGTTTGCTATCACATTGCTAAGAGAATCATTGGAGCCAGATGTGGAGCTCATCTTTGAGAGAAGAATGGGGACTCTGTGAAGGGGAAGATTTAGTGTTCCCTAATGGAGAACCTGATTCCTTATGACCTACCTAGACATGTTGGTGTCACTAACTTTAGATTAAAAACTGGACATTACTTTATCATGAAACACCTACACAGATTTGGCTTAGCAGACTCTCCATCTTGCCCATTATATGATATTGATGACATATCTGGTGACCGTTTAGACACTTGTTCTGAACTTAATGGTGTAGCAATGGCTAATGCTGTCAAAAATTATTGTACTTATTTTAATGTTTTTGAACTGTATTGGGCTGCCTATCATAGACAAATGGCAGTCATGCCTAGGTCTGGGGTAGGATTTAAAAAAAAAAAAAAAAAAGGAAATACAGGGTGCAGCAGGGAAACTTCCTTATTTGAAACGCGCGCCATCTAGCGACATTAATTCCGAGAAGGGTGGGGTGACACTCATTGAAAACAGTAGTATTTAAAGTTTTATGTCATGTAGGTTTAGTACCGATCATGCAGTAGACGAGAGAGGAGCATACGTTGCTGCGATAATCCCGAAGTACCAATTTTTAGAATAACAATGCATATGAAATTAATGTTATTGAACACACATTAAGAAACATTTAAAATGTTTTAATTTTAAGCTTGTTGAAAGTGGAAGCCTTGTTAATAATGTTAGGCATCTGTTTTAAGTCTTTTTAGAATCGGACTGCTATTGCAAAGCAGTAATTGATGTGAATTATGTAAGACTAATGTTTTCAGAGGCTTTTAAAAATATAAACAGCTTTTTATGCTTCTTTCACCTCTTATTTTTATAATCATTCAGCTATTATGCTTTTTCATTACCTGTTGCAAATTTCCTATCTAACACAATTTTGACATCTAGTCCAACAGCTTCCAGTTGAAATGCCTATTTCCAAAAAAATTTCAGTACTCTTCTGTTATTGGGACTAGATTCAGAAATATATGCATGTATGTATGGAAGTATGTGTTCATTTATGCATGTATATATATATATATGTATGTGTGTGTGTATACACACACATACACTTGTGCACACGTACACACATTTCTGAATCTGGTCCTGATAACAGAAGAGTACCAAATCTTCAAATATATTTCTGTATATTGTAAACTTGAATATGCAGGTTCCGTATTTTTGTGCTGTTTTTGCTTAAAAAGTCATCAGAGCATCACATAAACTTAGCATCACACATGAGCCAAAACAGATATGTGCTATAAATATACCTGGGTTTTCACACAAATACTTTTTAATAACATCTTGGGTTACAGTATAACTATTTTAGCAATGAACTGTTTTGTCTTATGAATATTTTTTTGGGACTTTTCTGTGAGATTGTGGATAATCAGAAAGTTCCTTTTGAACATTGTATTTTCACAAAATATTGTCCTTTAGAAAGTACAGCTCCATAGAATGCCTATTCTTGCACCCTCTGTTTTAGCAAAACAGCATGTTTCTTAAGAAATTCACTGGTTTCTTTCTTTTTAGCTGACATTAATTTTGCATTCCCATTATAAGCCCCCCTCCTCCTGCAAAAAATGCTTAAATGGTAAAACATTGAACAATGAATGAAATGTCAAACTCAAAGATGAGGATAATTAAAAATATCAAATCTATGTAAACTGTAAGTTGTTCTCTTTAAATCAGAACGATATATTTTAAAAGATTGGTTAAGCTTGTTCATTATAGAAATTTTAGATGATGCAACTTTATTTGATATAGATAAAGATCTTTATTGTAATATATTTCATTCTTTAAAAGCTATTAAATTTTATAATTATTTAAATAAACTTATTCAGCTTTAAATGTATTTTTTATGTCTCTATCTATATTAATTTCCATGAACTTTTAGCTGATTTTATTGCTTCAGATTCTCTTATCATACCATGAATGCTGTTAGGTACTTCATAAATGTGCCATTAAAAGAACCAACCAACAAGGAGCCGTGTTAAAAACAACAGGAGATTGAAGAAGTATATAATGAAAATCCAATTAAAAGAAAGTTCAACTACGTACATAATGCAGAGACTAAAAGATTGAGAGCTATAAAATTTAGCACAGATTCTTGCAGGGATGGTTCTTATGGGACAAAACCAATTTTCCAAATTTATTATTATTTTCTTTTTGTTATTTAATATAAATTTTTATGCATTTTCATACATAATTAATGAAATAATTTTAATGATTGAACTAATTATTTCAGTTTTTGTATGGTTGAATAAATTAGAAATACCTTCCAATTAAAGGTTATCATAAATCTCTTTACAGATTTTTGGCATTTTTTCTGAACTTTTTTCAGTTTTTGATCATTATATATCGTTAATTTTTTTTTATTCTAACACTTGGAAATCTGTGGCTTATAATGTCTTAAAATATTCAGAAGACATAAAAATAACTCTTTATGCTCTTTTAAAGCAAAAATGGAATTAAAAAAAGAAAATGTTCTGTGATATTTTAAAAATATGTTATAAACTAGCTGAGCCCTGTGAAGAGAAGTTTTGTTTCTTCAGTGACTGCATGACTTATAAGCAGCCCAGCATTACTTATTTCATAACAGTGTCATGGAATATCTTATAAGATAAGAAGGATTATGTATTAGTATAAAATGATTTCTGAGCAGTGATATTATAGAATAAAACTAATAGAAATTTAGGCCACAACCTGTAAGAAAATGTGTGAAGCATTCTTGTTCAGAAAGTTTATATCCTGGAAATGAACCCTATAGCAAAACAAAACTCAAAGAAATTGTTTTATTATATTCCATTTACATTAATTTCTGCACATAAATTATATTTTGCTTAAACCAAAATTTGTTTTCTGTGTTATTGAAAGTATATTAAAAGTCTATCAGTATTTTTTGTTTTTATAATTTTGGTACAGTATGATCAATATTAATTTTTTGATTAAAATAATTGATTTTAACATTAATTTCTTTAAAGTATTCTTTTTAGATATAAAAACAAAATTTTGAAGTCTTACATAATGTTTGGCATATTGTGAACATATAATGTATGTTTGAAACCTTTTTCAGGCAGCATAATGTTAGGACATACAACATTATTTGTAAAACATCTGCCATCTGAGTTAAGTGTAGCTGACAGAGAAGAGTTATTGAAACTTGTTGGTGCAGTTAAAGTGAACATCATGCCAGATAATGGAAAAATGAAATATACAGCTTTTGCTACATTTCAGACTCATGAAGATGCAAAATATGCATTGTCCTTATTACACCAGAGAAAAATCTTTGATCATCATTTAGTTGTAGAATTTGCAAAAGAACAACATCAGAATTTTGTTCCACATGAAAGTGATTATGTCCCTTTTCAAAATGTATCAGTGAAAGAGAGTGCTAGTAAGTCGTCAGAGAAAGAAGTCTTGAGATTAGATATGGAAGATTTCTCCCGCAAATTACATGGAATTGCTCCTGCTCTTGGCTTAGACTATTTGCCTTCTCAACTTCTAAAATATAAATATCCACCACCAACACCAACAATAATTCAAAATATTGCTCATGCATTAGCTTCAGTTCCTAAATTTTATACCCAAGTACTGCATCTCATGAACAAAATGAATCTTCCAGCTCCATTTGGTCCTTTAACACCAGCACCACCACTAGCTCCTGATTTACCAGCAAAAACAGAAAATACATCAGAAATTATGGATAGAGATTCCTTTGAAGTAGAAAATATGGCTGTTACATCTTCAGAAGAATCTGAATATGAAAGTGAATCAGAAGGAGGTGACCATAAAATCCCTGAAAAAGTTCTTCCACAAAAAAGACCAATGCAAAAACCAAAGCATAAAAGAAAAAAGCAAAAGTTAGCCAATCTTATGCCAATGCCGAATGCTAGTACTGGGCGCCAAATTACAGAACCATCAGAGGTATTTGAAGTACAAACTATAAGTCAGAAAAAAATTAATGTGAAGAAAATAGATCACCTTACGTCTGCTGTTGGGCCAACACCAGTTATTGAACCTTGTGGAAGTTTTGGAGCCATTGAAGCTCCTAAACCAGTTACAGGCAATGAAGGGAATCAGAAAGAGCCTGGGGAAGATGAATGGGATGATTCTCAATTTATAACTTTGGAAGCACTGCGGAAAAAGAAAATTTCATCTAGGGAAATGAAAACTATGTCAGTATTTAGAAATTTTTCACCTGGTGAACCATCAGTTCGTTTGTATATAAAAAACTTAGCTAGACAAGTAGAAGAAAAAGATTTGAGGTATATTTTTGGAAGGTTTATAGATAGAAATTCAGAGCAAGACAGAAATATGTTTGATATTAAACTTATGAAAGAAGGTAGAATGAAAGGACAAGCTTTTGTAACTCTAGCTAATGAAAAACAAGCAACCGAAGCTATTAAAGAAACAAATGGTTTTGTGTTACATACAAAACCATTAGTTGTGCAGTTTGCAAGATCAGCTAAACCAAAAGAAGAAGGAAAAAAAGAAAAGAAATCATAAAATCATAGTGTTAAGAAATTTTATATTTCGTACTAATGAATTTTTTAAAAATTATTAGTATTGAGAATACTGATAGTGTTTTGCTTTCATTTCAGTATTTGAAGATGACAGAAGAGCTGGTCAGTGTTAAAATCTTATTTTTTGCCAAAGCACGTGAAATTATGGGGATATCTCAAATGGAAATGAAATGTTCTAAAGGACCATTTACTGGAGAAACTCTAATGAAAGAAATTAAAAAAGTATGCAGAAATTTAGACTCTGTGTCCAAAAGTCTAATTTTAGCTGTAAATGAAGAATATGTTGATAATTTAGAGACATTTTATTTAAAAGAAGGTGATCATATTGCAATAATTCCACCTTTAAGTGGAGGATGAACCAGCAATTCAAGCAATTTTTAATTGTAAAAATGACCAAGTTGAAAGAAAATTCTTCCAAACTGGTCATTACTGCAATTAAATATTAACATTTTGTCAAACTGGTTGTTACTTCAATTAAATATTAATATTTTGTAATTAAATGTGCCATTAATTTAGTTTCATTCATGATTTTAAAAAAATAGTGTTAATGATATTATTCCATTGATTGTGAAAGCTGGTAGAGATTCTGCCAAAGTTGCATCTAACATTTCTGTAGAATTAATGCCTCTTTATGTAATAAACAACCAGTATTCTACTTGCTTCATAAAAATGGCTTTTGTTGATTTCTTCTATTTTATTAGGTCCTCCGTTTTTTTTTTTTTTTTTTTTTCCTGTAAGCCCTATTTTGAATGCTGTGAGTACAAACTTCTAATCTATTACCATTTTGTTGGCCATATCCAGGTCTTCTTTCCCCATTTAACAGCAATTCGCTCAACCAGCTGTAAATTAACTGGAGTGCAGTAATAAATTCTGCATTGTCATTGTTAATAATGCTAATTTGTGAAAGATATGCCATATCGTTGAAAGATTCAAATCACACTGTAGTGCAATTTCTCGGGCACTGCTACTACCAATAATGGTCTTGTAGGTGGCATTAACAATTGCATTCATATTAGTAACTGCATTATGACACCTATTTCTGCCCTCTGCCAGGCCGATCTGCTAAGAATACTATTTCTAACTTCTGTATTATGCTTTTCTATGTATAAATTGATAAAGGGCCTTTACTAAGGTTGTTATCACTTCTAAACTCACAAAAAGTGGCAGTTGTGTTTTATTGATAAAGATAAAACAACACATGTAAACAGTAACATTTCACAAGTAACATGTGCTGAAGCGTATTGAACCAGCTAACATTTGAAATATTCTTCATTTTTTCCCCCTTTATAGACTGAATTACTGATGTTGCTGTCATTTATGCAATTGGGCATTTGCATTTTAAAATTTTACTTACGTTTCATGCAAGTTTTCAATTGTGTAGACTAGAACAGTGCCAAATTTCCCCCTAATGGCAACTTTCTGGAACTAATCTTTTCATGGAATCTTTACCAAATTTAGTGGCATACCAGCTGATAGATTGAGTCACAGATGGCTGTGAGTGATGTCAGTAAAAAAAAAAATAAAATAAAAAAAAAACTGTATATAAAGAATATCAGAGATAATAAAAAGATTATTGAAAGAATATTAAAGTATTTTTAGAACTGTCCATTTATCTCCAACTAAACTGTAAACTGTATTCATACAGAGCTGTTTAACTTTTTCTGTATTCAACCATATGCTTCCTGAACATTCAATTTTTTTTAAGCTGCAAGTATTTGTTTACTGTCGCTACAGGTGTATTGAAAGACTCCCTAGTTGCTTTCAGCATTAATGGATTTTCTACCTGAGATTTCACTTTACAAACAGGATACATCTTTTTCTGATAATAATTTTGAGTCTTCCTTTCCTATAAAAATAATGATTAATGGATATTCCCATTCCAATTAATAATGTGCCTCATTTTGCTCATAGAAATCATAATATCATGCATTCCACAGCATTTTTTTTTTATTGCAGAACACTTTTCTTTGGAAGAGGCAAAAACAGCCTTCAATCCACAGCTTCCTTACATTTTGAAGAAATAAATTTCAATGATATTTCTCATTTTAAATGATATTTTTTGGCCAGAAGTTTTTATTCCTCAACATTAACATGTTTTAATTCTTTGTTGAAATAATTAAAAAATATGTTAATACCAATCATATGCTTTATTTCATCAAACAGATCTTGTTTGTTTAGTTAATTTGGCAAAGCACATAAGAGCTCTCTCTCATTAGACTCATCTAGTTATATAATTTCTTAAAATAAAGTAGAAGGTTTTATGGAAATAGAGAACCTTTCCACTTAAGTGTTTAAACTATGTACAAGATTGAATTCTAATTTGTAATTCATTAGCGTGCAATGTAATTTTATTATGTGAAAATCTGAAGTTATGGATAGTTAATTTTTCATATGTTCAGCTATAAATTTTGTAATAAGTGCTATGTTATCTAATACAGAATGATTAAACATGAAAATCAGCAATTTTATTTAGTATTTTCTTTCTAAAGTGCTGAATTTTTATTAAACCACTGAAAATGATCTAAGTATATTTGTTCTTAAATAGCTTTGCAAATTTTATAAAAGTGCATATTCAACTTACTAATTTGAAATTCTGCTCTGTAAATATCATGTAAAAAATTAAGAGTTTTTGTTACCCCCCAAAATTCAGAATACTTTGCTATCAATACGGCAACTATTCTTTATTCTGAAAAAAAAAAAAAAAAAAATCTAACTAGAAGGTACAGTAAGGCAAGGAGGGAAAAACATTGTTTTATATCTCCCATTCTAGTTCAGTGAACGTCTTCAACCTGCATTTTCCATGTCTTTGAATGTACAATTTAGGCTATATGTTAAATTGATATATAGAATTATGATAAATAGCATGTATTTGACATAAAATCAAACTTTTTTCAAGTGAAATAATATATTTTTCCCATATTTCAATTATGAATATTATTAATTAAAGTTATGAAATTATGAATTAAAGTTATGAAAAGTGGAAAGTCTCATTTAATTTTTTTTTAATGGCATTCAAAATTTTAGTTCTGTAATGTTAACTGAATGTAAGTTATATTTGATAATATCCTTTTACTTAAATTTTCTTAATTTTTACATATATTTTTGTTTAAATTTATATATGTTATCTGAAATTATTATAAAAAACTTCTAATATTTATTTTAAAAGATGATATACAAAATTTCATGATTACAATTCAAATTATTTTTGCAATTTTTGGAAATATTCAAATTAAAATTTTTTTTTTTAAATAAATGATAAAGTTTAAATTTAAAATAAAGTATTATTTTCTGTCAAGTTTACCAATAAAAAGCTTCTTTTTTTTCCCAATTACTCTCTTACTGTGAATATGCTGTAACTGTTATAAACTTCTGTACTTTGAGAAATTCTAGACTTTGAAATGCATACCTAATTAAGGTATTAAAATCTTTCACAAATACTCTCCATATAATTTAATATAATGTTTTATATTTGCATATATAGTACACTTTTGTTGATTAAAATATTTTACTTGTATTTATATAGTTTCATAAGTACAAAAGTATAATTTGCAGGAATGAAATAGAAACAAAATAATGATGTATGATTATGTACACATGAATAAATATATACCTTTATACATTTTTTATAATTTTATTATTGAATACTTCTTTTATACAATTATAATTCATTCATCTTGTTGATTTTTATCTAAATAGTCAAGAAGTTCTTCTTTAGTCATTTTAAAATTACTTTCTAACCACACAGTCTTTAATGTTTGCATTACTTTTCTCAACTCTGGACCAGCTGCGTAGCCTCTCTCCATCAAAATGTGTCCACTAAGAGGAAATTTAGGTATTTTCAAATCATTCAGTTCTTTCCATAGACAGACATCTCCACGATATTTCAAAACTTCACAACTCCGTTCATGAACATCACTAGTTTTATGTTTTGTATTTATTATCATTTCAAGAAATGGTTTAATAGTTGTGTCACTTCTGTCTCTATTCCTTATTATGAATAATGACAATTCTTTATCATATGTAGAAAATTTCAAGCGAGAATGCAGCGCTAAAACCTATGGAAGGGAAAGAAAGAATTTTATGCACATATTATGAAACTAGACATAAAACTTGAATATAAAAACATGTATGTATATATATATTGTGTCCACAAAAGTCCTTGTCCAACCTTTATTTTCACAACTGTTGCTTATAGATATATACTTCCAATAACAAAGATGTTTTAAATGATGCAAATATTTATGTTAACACATTTTAAAATTTTAAATATTCAATTTTATAAAAATTAAAAATAAATTATATTGTTCTCCAGTCCTTATACACTGGTTATCATAAATTAAAGAAAAATCACAAAACTCACGATTACTGAAAAAGTTACATGTAGAATTTTATGAAACTTACCCACAATATACAACACATAGTAAGGTATCAAATAACATAAAAAGAAATTACCAGACAATTATGGTAGTATAGAAATTAGCACATGTATAAAATGAACAAATCGAAGATGTCAGTTTGCTATAGTAAAAGTACCTTCAATATAGAATATACTTGCCTCCAGAAGCAATACAGCACATTCAGTGATGTGTGATGCTTTCAATTATGCGGTCTATCAGTTCCATAGGAAGCAAGAGCCATTACTTTTGCAAAGCAGTTGCAAGTGTGGCAAGGGTCTAAGGGGGCAGATTGCGAGCAGCTAGATGTCTCCCTAAAGCATCCCAAATGTGCTCGATAGGATTCAAGTCCAGGGATCGAGCTGGCCACTCCATGCGCATAATTGTTTCCTGTTGAAGATAATCATATACGATGCGAGCCCTGTGTGGTCTTGCATTTGTCGTCCTGTAACAGGAAAGCATCACTTATTGCCCCGGCATATGGGCACACATAAGCATCAAGGATGTCAACTCTATAAACATGAGCATTCATGGTTCCCCTTGGAAAAACATAGAGGTCTGTGCGTTAACCCAAAGAGATGCCACCCCCAAACACACACTGCCTCTTCCGTATGCATCTCTTTCACAGATGATAACGGGTTCCAGGTTCTCTCCATATCAAATAACGCCTACTATCGTGTTCTAGACTAAACCTGGACTCATCCGTAAAGAGAATAGCCCTCCATTGCTCAGGCGTCCAGTGGACATGTTATCGTGCCCACTGCAAACGGTCCCTTCTATGGCCTGACTTGAGCGGCACGCAAATGGTTGTTCGCCTCGCATACGGACCACCTTCGTGAAGCCTACTATGCACAGTTGACGTTGACACCAACCTTCTGGTGGCTGCAGCAAGGGAGGATCTAAGAAGAATCAGAGTAACGGTTTTATTCCTGAGTGCACATAATGTCAAATATAGGTCATCGGCGCTCGTCGTAGCAGTTGGCCGTCCTTGGCTGAACCTCCTAGGTACCGAATTTGTGATTTGAAATTGCCTCCAAAGTCTATAAACCACAGAAGGACTCACATTTAGCCATCTAGCCACTTCTGTTTGACTTTGTCCTGCCTCTAGTCTCCCAATGGCTTTCTATCGTAGGTTCTGCAGGCAAACAATGCCTGGAGATTATTGTTACGAATTGGCTATGTCAGATTTCTGATGTCACTATCACAGTGAAATATGTGGGCTTGCTCTCAAACATTGACTTTTATGCTCCTTGCAGATGACGTATTCCGAGTGCAGCGCCACTAATTTGTATATTGGAGTTTTACTCAGCTACTCTTACTTGGCAACATATTCGAATTTTACACGGTTTGGCTTATTTTTGAGGGAGTTATTGCTATTTTTGTGATTTTTCCTTAATTTATGATAACCAGTGTAGTTACATTTAGGAAAAATTTAATATATGTTAAAAAATAAATAAATCACATACAAAATGTTTTCCATATGGCAAAAAATGACCACGTTATTTAATTTTAAAATTTGGGATATTTGATGTCACTTCCAACTTGCCTCGGCATAATTAAGAAATGAATTAGAATAATTTAAGGTTAAAATTTTTCCTCTTTAAATGCCATTCAATGATATAACTACTAATGTGTAAGATTCTTTTATTTATAATTTCATTACCAACGTTATGCTGAAAGAACTTTTACATCAATAACTTTTAAGTTTGTAAGAAATAAAAAAATAATGAACTACTTTAGAATCATTATTTAAAGTAGTTAGTTATTTTTTAGTTATGTACAAATGCAAACATTTTGCTTTTTAGTTTGCATACCAGCTTTTAATATGGTCTTCACTTTTAAAATGAAATATCTTGGTCAGCTTTATAACATGAGAGTCAAACTTTTTGTATTTTACTTTTCACACTGAATATAATTTTTTTTTAAATGTAAGTTTAGACTGAAAAAAAGGTTAAAATAAATAAAATCTAAAAGGTTTCAGATTTTAAATTATGTCCAAAGGGGTGTTTTTTTAACGTTTTGTGTGTTACCTTTATTTATTAAATATCATGTTCTTTGCACTTAAACCATAAAATTCATTTCAATAGCAATGTCGCAAAATAAGTTAAACCCTTTAATGGTTTTACCCGTATTTTCTCATTCTTTTATGCAGGCCTCTTGACGGTTCATTACGGAATATTGTTAGTTTAAATATATCCTCGAAAACGGATCGTCCCATGTTTTTATAATAGCGAAAAGATAGGCCAAAAATGATTAGCCCATATTTTTGTACATCTTCCAACCCCCAATGCCTAAGGGGACAAGGGTCCACGCAAAACTGATGACAATGGGTAATGGCTGTCATTAGCACAGGGAGAAATCTTCTTGATGTTTTGAGATAAAGGCCTTACACTGACTCTGAAGAAACAAATTTATTACGAGTTACAGAGTGAATGTATATATAATAGGAATTAAGAATTTCCGTTTTAGAGCAGTTATTGAATAAAAAATAGAAGTTTTTACAAAATGAAAGTTTACCTATAAAAGCATTAATTAATTAAAACGAGAAAAATAAAAATAATAAATGCAAACATAAAAATCTGAAAATGAAAATCTTTTAGAATTTACATTATGCCCAAAGAGGCATTTTTTAAATGTTTTGTGTTTTTTTAAATGTTAAAATCCTTTATTTTTAAATATCATGTTCTTCGCACTTAAAACATAAAATTTCAGTTTAACAGCAATATCACAATATAATTTTTAAATGAGCATATCTTTAGAATTTCCGATACACAGTCTCGCCCGTTGAAGATAATTTTTATTTTATTTTCGTACAGTGTTGCCTTTGCTCGTTTTGAAATCGTTGAGTTTCTTAATCAAAAATTCATTGAAGTTTTACAAAATATAAAATAGATAATAAAACAAATTCCAAATCTGGGCTTGGAGATGCCCATATTCGAGTGGAAACGTACATTATTCAAAATTGGATGGGTCTAGGTACCGTTGTTTTATCACAATGCGAGAAACATACATATATTATAATGCAGATTATTCATTTATTTTTTCTTTAATAATAACCAGAGGCTGTAATATGTGGTAGCAACAGTTTGAAAAGTGAACTGACATAGTTTTCAACGGCAAAATGAAAAAATGAAGTTAATAGACCTTCTCGGCTAACGCCCTTTGTTTTAAAAATAATGTATCGTGTAATTTAATGGGAATACGCAGATTAAATAATTCTCTTTAAAAATTCTTCTACAAATTTATATCACGAATAATAAAAACGTGAGGCTGTCTTGATAAATTTATAAATATTATACATCTGACAATGCGATTCAATTATTTGATTTCGTAATTTAAGAACCTATGATTCTTCTTATAAAACTACACAGGAATTTAGCAAAGAAGCTATTAAGTAATCTCTTATTACCATTAATCTATGCGATAAATTATTTATTATTACTTTTGGTTCAGTCTTTACTTCCAAGTATCCTTTTACCTCAAATAATCGAAAAGATATATAAATTTAAAACAAAATTCGCCTTAAAATTAAAAATTATGTTAAAAATTTCATGCAAATTTTATTTCAAAAGCTATTTTACGCTCTGTAAAATGATGCAAACTTAAAAATTTTGAGATTTTTAGTTTATTCTTTAAATGGAAATATGCGCAAAAAATTTCTTCGACATTAAATTTTAAAAAACTCTAAATCGAATTTTATAAAATCGAATTATTATCATCCGTAAACGGTGTGTGTACAAAATTTGAATTCAATAGCTTATCGATAAGTAGTTCAAAAATCGACGACGAGCTTTTGATTAAACAAACCGTGAATGAACTGAATACAATTTTTGGAACAGCTCTATTTTTAAGCACTTTGGAAAGATCGGTAAGTTGTTGATATAGCATAACCGTTATTTTTATAACATTCTTGGCATTATGAAACGTGTAAGTGACATTCATAAGCGATTCCCGACAGTTCTGTTCATTTGTCAAAGTGGCTGCTTTTGAAAATATTGTGAAGCTCACTCGATGTGCTCCACTATCTATGATACTCATTAAAGATATTTATTATGTTATTTTGTTTATTTCTATACAGAAATACTGGTAAAATTAAGAGGTCAAATATTTAATTATTTGAGTTATATAACTACTTATACTGTCTCAAGAAATTTTGAGTCATTTTGTAAAAATAATCTTTTTTTTTTAAAATTCCTTTTTTTTCCCCCTCCCACTATGCTTAATGACTTTATTACTATTCTGATGAATGGAAGGTTTGTAGAGACATTAGTTTTTTTTTAGCAGCAAGAGACATGAAAAATGAGCAAAGCCCTCAGTCAATGCCTCAGTAGTCGCTGCATACGAGTGTGGTGTCGATGTGAGGACAGGTCCAATCCAACAGCAATTGTGGAGTGCCTCACTCACTGCACGACAATGCAGCATCACAGTTTGGGGCACAATTGCATGTGAAACTTTGCATATATCCATGAAATAGAATTTTTTCCCCGGAAGGGGGGAGGGTAAAAGAAGGAAGTATGTTTTGCACAGAAAACTGACATATATCTGACTACAAATACGAATAAATATATCTTAGAAATAGAGAGACAGATGCATTTACATTTAGCGGGGGTTAGGGGGGGGCTCGCATGCAATGGTGTTTTCCCCCTTCTTTTTTGCAGTTGCTAAAACAAAATTTGAAAATTTAGCTTTATAATTTATTTAAATTTTACTGTAAAAAACATAACAAATATATATATTAAATTTGACTATTTTCTCATGTTTTATATTTTCATGGAATTTTGCCTTAAAACAACAAAATTTTGATATAATGTTGTTATTTTAACATTATCATAATAATGTTACTGATAATATTAAAATGTTTTTTAAAAATGAATCACCGTGAAATTTGTAAGATACCAAATCAAAGATTTCACTAATTTTCACTAAAGATAATTTGTTTTGATGGCAGACTGGCACAATATTTAGCATCTTTACAAAAACAGCAAAATTCATAAAAAATGGATTTATTTGGACGTTTTATAACACAAAAATTTCTTAATCGATTTAAACATTAATAAGTCCTTTCTTTAAGTTTAATTTTAAACAATTTATTTAAATTAATGTGAATTGTTGTTATATATATAATTACAAAACAATTCTTCTGAAAACAAAAGAATTTATTTAAGAAAAAGTTATTTTCGTGCATTAAGCTGCAGAAAAACTATCATTAAAGACAAAGTAAAAAATTTAGAACTAATATTTTAGAAAGACAATTAAAAATAATTTACACAAATGCATCAACAATTAAATAATTGTGTAAATGCAAGCAACAATCAAATAAACATATAGATGCAACATTGTTGCATTTATATGCTTATTTGAAATTTAGTAATTATGAATTTCAATTTCTGGTCTTTGTGAAATATTAGTTCTAAATTTCTTACTATATATAGATGTGTGTATATATATAAAGAGGTAAAAACTTTTTAATATTAGATTAATACATATATAAGTTATGAAGAAAATACCTCCTCCTCAGTTTTAAGCAATGCTGTTAATCTAGTCATTGGATGTGGCTTCATTGCTTGAGATCTGTTGCCAACGTCTTCATACTCTTGCACATTTGGATTTTGAGGAAAACCTGTAGAATTTAAAACATAAAACATTCTCCTTGTCATTCCAATATAGAATCTTCTAACATTAAGATTTATTTTCCTGAAATAATATTTCAAGGGGAAAAAATCAAAGAATATAAACAGGATGCATTTTGATATAGCAGATTTTAACCATACAATATTTTAAATCAAAATTTTCTTATACGGAGTTCAAATTATATTGAAATAAACAATATACTATTATCTTTGAATTATGCAGAGTGACTAGTCTTCGTATAATTTCTACCATTTAAGTACTTTTAGCTAGGTGCATATCAAGCAAGAGGTGAAATTTTATGACTAAAGCTATTAACATTCCTGAACTGTTTTTTAACATCAACATTTTGGAGTGAAAGTTTGACATGGTGCTTAAAAAAAAAAAAAAAAATTCCAACTACAATTTTAAAAAAATTCTAATTAAAACAAAAATGATAAGAATACAATAAATGAAAAATCTCTGAATATCGTACTGGCAAAATTCTGAAAATTAAGATGAATTCTTTTCAATGGAACTTGGAATAAGATTAGGATGATACTAAAGAAAATATACTTCTTTCAATGATGAATTTTTTTTAAATCATCATGAATGAACATATTTGATAGGATTTTACATTAGGCACACACATATTTGATTAACTGCTAGTATTCCCGAGACCTATTTCAAACTTTAAAATCTGAGTTAGAGAATATTAACTATCAGATAAATTAAAACTCTGTTAGAGATAAATAAATACAAACTTACAGCAAACTGCCTCTTTTTTTTTTTTTTTTTTTTTTTTCAGAATTATAATAATATGGTCCACATATCAGAATATAATCTAGATCATGCATCGGAAACCTTTTTGGGCACTAAGTCAAAATTAACCAAAATATGTGTATTAAGGACGTTGGGCCGTGCATTTTCATTTTAAAAACAGTCTTTCTGGTGAATATAAGATATTATATTTTTTGGAGAACATATACATACACTTTAAATTTTTAAAGTATATTCAAATATTATAAAAATAACAAACTGAATGAACTTTATTTTTTCTATGATGTAAATGGCTTCCTAGATCAATGGATTATGAATTTG